CAACCATCACACAGAAGTACTGACTTGACTGACTTAGTGTTGAAAATCCGGATGTTGTTCTTTATACTGAGTGGAGTGAATCTCCACACTAGTTTCAGATTCATGATGGTCTGTCTTGCTTTGACGTCCTCATCTGTGCCTGTGCCACCTGTAGTTGAAACGATGCTGCCTAGATAGGTGTAGGTGAAAGAGACTACTTCTTTTGGGTTTCTCCTATTCACGGTGATCGGCGCTTGTCGTTGACATTGTTGTTGGTCGGGTATCTTCTCTACGTTCACTTGAAGTCCCGTCTTCGCTGCCCTACCTCTTCTGTCAACTTGTTAGTTTTGCCTGTACATCTTCGAGTTTGTGCCACAAGACATTAGACATAAATCATCATCGTTGGCGAAATCCAAATCTTCTAGGCTCTTTTCATCGGTCAGACAGCGTATGCCCATATTCTCACAGCTCCTCACAGTTTGTTGCATGATCCAGTCCAGTCGAGTCGACCACAATCAGGAAGATCATCGGTGATAGTAGGCGGCAGCCTTGTCTTACTCCCATCTTCACTTCAAAGGCATCATTGAACTTTCCATTGTGAATCAGTTGACATGTAGCATCCTCACATAGCATACAGCTGTTGAATGAGGTTGATAAAGGTTTGTAGCATTAAACCCGTAGTGTTGAAGCAGCTGTCTAACTACTTCTCGGTCAACGCTGTCCAGGGTCTTTTCAAAACCGATGAGGTTGAGGTAGAGATTCAGTTGACTGCCATTCTATTCTCTGTTCTATGATGATGCTTAGCGTAGCATTGTAATTTGATACGCATACGATTTGTTCTTCCTGAAGCCAGCCAGCCAGCCAGCCTGTTCCGGTGATAATTTTCAATCCAGAGCATTTTTTAATCTCTCCAGGATGATGTAGTTTAATATTTTGCTCGCTTTGGGTGGACAGGAGCATGATTCCACGCCAGTTTTTGCAAAGACTTAGGTCGCCCCTCTTTGGAGGTTTGATAAGGTAGCCCTTCTTCCAACCAGCAGGTACCTTTTGTTCCTTCCTTCCAAACCTTCTGCAGTAGTAGTGGGAGCATATCGGCTGATGTCTTTAAATCTGTTTTCAATCCTTCTGTAGTTGATTTTTCGGGTTTCAGTGCCTCTTCAGCCTGAAGCAGCCTAATTTTTAATCTTGCTTTGTGTTTCTGAGTTGTGGTATTTGCCTGATGATTTTGGGGATGTTTTGAAATGTTTTCATAGCGTTGCGGGTACTATTCTTAACATTGTGATTACTATCACAAACACCTTTGTCAATAATAATGCTTATATTTTGCTTAGGATTTCTATTTAGAAGGGTAATTGTTGATTGGTAAGGTGTCTTAAATGTAACTGGTTTCTCGTCTTAGATACTCTGTTTTACGAGGAAGTTTTTTGACTCTGTTACTTAGATGCTTATCTAAGCCAACGCGAACTGAAATAAGGTGAGACGATTTGAAGCCTGAGTAACAATTTGGATGTGAAAGTTCTTCTGTTGACACCAGTGTCTTAACTTCCGTCTTATTTTCTGTTTTATTGTGGAATCCAGCGTCGCTACTTCGGCTTTACTATTTTCTAGTTCATAGGCGAATGGGATTATGTTTACTTCTAAATTTATATTTGTGAAGATGTTATGTATGTGTTCCGATTGCAACACTGTAAACGTGTCGTCTACATATGGAAGTAATATTTTTTGAGAAGGATTAAATGTTCCTGCAGCCATCCGTTGTCAACTATCAGTAAATGTTTGCTACAATAGGAAAGTTTTTTATTCCATGGCAACTTCTGTTTGTTTGCGTATTTTATTCTAAAACCTAAAGATTGTTGAGTTTAGGCATCACTGTACTCCTAGTTTCATATTATCTACTGGTACCTTAGTTTGTAGTGTAAATTCATGGTAAAACAAACAATGTGAGCGAAGAAATATTTCTTTTCAATTAGTTCCTCATCAATGGCTCTACCTTCTTAGATGTCCGATTGACAAGGAAGGTGGATGGAACTATAAAAAGAAGTGTGTATCGGAAACCAACGTCAACAGGTCAATACACCCACTTCTTGAGTTTCGTCCCCTTGCAATATAAACGAAATCTCGTTAAATGTTTGGTCCATCGGGCGAGACTCATCTGTTCAGATGATAGTTTTGACGAAGAGCTTCAAATTATCCACGATCTACTCAGTAGTAATGGATATCCAGAAACGTTCCTGGCTAAAAATATGAACACATCCAATATGAAAACCAGAATGCCTACAGTCTCCAAGAAACCATTGTTTCTAAGACTACAATTTCGAGGTGACATCATCAGCGAAATTGTGACACAACGCTTAAGAAATGCCATAAGAAGATCATTTAATGCCGCCAAGTTATGTTGTGTTTTCTACAGCCGGCCGATGATGACCACACGAACTAAAGACAGACTCCCTGACTTCTCCTCTTCTATGTGCATTTACCAGTTCAACTGCTCCTGTGGAGCTAGTTACATTGGACGTACAGTTAGGCAAGTCCGTCGTCGAATCGCCGAGCATCATCCTTCATGGCTAAGTAAGGGGGAAACCAGACTGACACGAAGCTCAATACTCTCTCATCTGATTGACACCGGCCACCGAGTTAACATTCATAATGCCTTTAAAGTTATTTATCACATTCCTTCTCACCTCACCCATCCTCTACGAGTCCGTCTTTTACATACAGCAGAAGCCATAGGAATCCACCTACACAAGCCAAGTCTGTGTGTTCAGAAGAGATTCGTACAGCCTCTTTCTTTGCCTTGGCCATCTGTATAGCTCATTTATTACAACAAGACTCTTCATTTCATCCACCACACAATTCACTATAACTAGTATTTCAATAGCTCCATTATTATTATAATTATTATTATTATTATTACAGACTTAATCATCTTTCTCTCCCCCTACTGTCTCTAATTACCGTCAACAATTTACCATTTTACGTAACAGTTCATTTTTGCTCTTTAGTTATCATTATATAAAATATCAATTATGTAAGAACCTGTTCGCAAAATCTTTCTACGATAATTAATCTTTGCTTTAGTTAACTGTCTTAATTACCTGACCAATTATCACCTTCTTGAAATTTTGAGATTGATAACCTTTCACTGAACAACTCTCACCACTAGATTGGTATGTAATTTTACGTTTGAAAATGCTATATTAGTGTAGAGCCATTGATGAGGAACTAATTGAAAAGAAATATTTCTTCGCTCATATTGTTTGTTTTACTAAACGTCTAAATGGGAATTTTTGCATTACTAAATTCATGGTCATTTTTGAGCTGGTTTGTTGATTCTTTCTTGTTATTGTTTCGGCGTCTTTCCCCTCACGAAAACGTCCCAGTTGAAGGTATTAACTATCCCTTATTTTGGTTAGAACCCTTATTTACAGTACTTCGTAAAATAATTGACCTGAATAATTTTGTCCTTGTCTTTTTGGGGATTTTGAGCCTCATTTTGACTCTGGGATCTTTCAATCATCGTTTATAGTTAGCATACTTGGTGAATGTCTGTGGAATTTTCAGTCAATTTGACAACTATCCCTCTGGGACAACCGAAATTTATTCAAAAAGGTGACAAAAGTCATTTTTGATTTATTCATAATATCGTCATGTACACAGTATACAGTAAATGTACCAAGTGATATCAGTTTGTAGTTTGAATAGCTTAGTAACAATAACTTCAACTTTACTGCTTCCAAAATAATGATATTGGATGTAGCATGGGTTTTTTTTCAGTGTTTTATTTTGTTTTCATAGTTCCCTTGTCTGTTTTCCGCCTGATTCTTAATTTCTGTATCTCTGTGAACAGTGTTGTAACTGGAACACCTACCTTCTGTTCTCTGCCTATTTTTAGGTTACTTTGATTATCTGGCTGTTTTTTAAGTTGAATTATTCTCATTTTGATGTTATACGCTTACAAGGGGAGGGGAGATTTAGGATGCGAATTATGTTTTATTTCAAATTCATCAGCTGAGTGTACCTGCTTCCCAGCGAGTGTTATTTTCCTCACTAAGAATTAAGCCTAGCAACTATCGTTTATGAAGTAAAAGTGTTGGCCATCAGGCTGCTAAGTTATGAGAGATGCCTACTATTTGTGGAAGAAGTTTCAGCTGGTATTTTTTTTAATTTTAAGTCAATCAGTCATCTGTTTTTTACTAACTTAACTCACGAACATGAATTCAATATGAATTGGTCACTGCTATTTGGTAGCTGATATTTTAGCTATTAAGCCTTAAGCATTGACCGGGATTGCACTCATGAATTTTGTCATATGGCCGATTAGCTAGGTAGTGCTGCAACACTGACACGTTGCATCGTTTTACGTTAAATACCTTGAGGTCGTTTGATAGGCCAGCAATGGTTAAAGTTTTTTGAAAAATAACAGTCATGGATAATTGATTGCAGTGGAATTTGAAACGTGCGTTTCATTCTATTTGGAACTCATCACCTGGATTGTACTTATCTCATAATGAGCAAGATATTTCCCACTGGGACTTGAACCCGGAGCCTATCGCTTTAAACGCTAATGATTTATCCACTAAGTGAATACTGAATTGCAATAGCCACTCCTTGGGCAACAGGCGTAAGTTTGACTTTTCTCACTTGTGAGGCTTGTGGGTTGACATACATTCCTTGTCGATGAAATGCTAACAAGCAAAGTTCTTGTTGGCATAATGTTGACTTACATTTAAAAGTAATTCGTGTTGTCAGTATTGAATTGTAAACTCATCGAGAAGTTATGGCATAGTCATTTAGGCACACTACTACTACTACTACTAGTCAACGGTTCACTGATTCAGACCTAACTAACCCTCTTTAGGTGACCAATTACTACCAAAATTCCTCCCTTTCATGATATACATGACACATAAAGTCATCTGGTATAAAAACTTGCTTCATAGCTACAAGTTACATTATCATCGATGATGTTACATAATGCTTGAATAATAATAAATTCCACTTTTTATTTACTATCATTTTAGCTTTGTTCTACCATTGAAGGTATGGATCAGTGTTTGGTAAGTTAATTCTTGGAGTAAAGGGTAAAAAAATATTAGCAGTTCTAAAACTAGGTGATAACTTAGCAGACGGCGTCGTGTTATATTTAGCATGATTCTCATGACTTCTAGTATCAGTCATAACTGTCATGCCTACATTTTACAAAGATGCTAGGACAATGATTTAGTTGGATGTAAGATGACTAAGGAATCTCAATGCTTCCAAATAGTTTATGATTTAGTGACGACTTTGGTAGTTTCACCACCATATGTTCTTCTTTTTGTGACTTAATTTTTAATGAAATGAGTCAAAATTGAACGTGTATGAATAAAAAGTAGCCTTTGAATTAATGTACCTCAGTGATTGAAATGGGTCCTAGGTTAGGGGTAAACAGACCGCCAAATCCATGTAGAACCTCTCACAGAAGTGTATCACTTCAAGTTGCCACACTACACAGTAGCATGCAAAGAACAAGTGAACAGAAAAGGACTCACATCAAAGTGTATGATAAGAAAAGGAATTTGAAAATGAAGATTACTGAAAATGTTCAAACTTTACAATACTTGAAAGAGTGAACACATCTGAGCCATTGTGACCAGTTTTCAGCCATATCACTAAAAGTCTATAACCTTTGATTCTTATGGTCTCGAAGACCTTAACTAAGTGGTCTACACCCCCCTACATGGTTTAGGTTAGTCGTCCGAGACCTAATTGACCGGTCTTGGTCTGGTCACTGTGAGCCTTCTTCCAACTTAATTCTACTCCTAGTATTCCACGTTGAGTTAGTGGCTCGACAAGCGCAATAGTAAATGAAGATTCAAACCTCATCGACTGACTTTCCTTCCTTACATGGTGCTATTTACCTAACCTAAACATGACTCACACAGTGACCCCGCTAAACGTGGACAATCCAACGAGGACACTTATGGTCAGAAGCCTGTAACCGCCTCATGTATTCTACGTCTATCGCACATGTTTCAGAGCCGTATAACAGCACAGAATGGACTTCAGTACAGTATTCTCGTCCTTTAATAGGTTGTAGGATATCTTGCCAGGCGGCGCTAGATATAATGCAAGTTCTGCAGATGCCAGACGCACCTTCAGTATCCGAGCTGTGATTTCGTCGGCAACCAGGTGGATACGACTTCTCAAGCAAGTGTAGTGGTCCCATATTAGATTTGTTTATTTGATTTATAACACACAGTGATCTAGTATTATTTACTTGATGACGTTTCGAGCATAAATTATTGCTCATATGGGCATTTTTTTTAGCGTCTTCACCTAACAAAACAATATCGTTTTCATACTCAAAGTTTACCAGATGACCTTCAAGGAGTAGATCAATCCCTTTAAGTCAGAGGAACCTAAGGTTATTTACCTTAGCACATCTATACTGAAATCCAACAAGAACTGTGGCAATGGACATCTCTGAAAGATGCTACTAGTTGTCATCAATTCAGATAACAACTCTCCATAAGCTCTCATGGGGCTACCTGAGTTCGAGTCGAGAGGTTTGATTAACCGTTCTCACTGGTCCCATTCGCAGTCAAACACTGTGACAACACCCTACAGTAGACAGTCAAATCCTGCATTCAGGCAAGAAATATGACAAGTGTAGATCATTGACCGGTAAGTATACTAGTGTCCCAGGGTCTGTCGGTGGGTAAAAATATGGCCAACACACTCTAGTCCAGATCAAAAAGCTACCTGTTTTTTTCTCGAGTCTGCTATTCCTGAGCTTCAAATCGGCGTGGGATAACTATGAACCCTAGGATTTTGGACACAATATTAGTTAAACCGATTTCATTATCGCTGTCACAAGACGATTTCTCCTTCTTATAGACTAAGATGACCAGTGAAACAAACCAATTAGACGACACTACTTTTGATTCATATACACTGCCTAGTACCTCCTTCAATTAGCAGTTTCCTACCTCCATTGTTGAAAAATTGAGTTCATCAAGTGTCAAGTCCAGGCGCTTTGAACCCTTTCAGGTTTGACATAGCTTCTCAACTTTAAGGAGGGTTGGTGGACCAACATCTACATCTCATTGAAGTTCATTCTGGGTGTTGGGCAACTGAAGCTTTATTGAACTGTGCATGAGAGTGTTCTGCTCAGCGTTCTAGTGGCCTGTCGTCGGAGGTTATAAGCGTTCCATCATTTTCGGTGATGGTTTCACTAAACATCCTTTTCTTGTTGCCGGTAGTTGCCGAGTGTTACCCAACAATGATCCCTTTTCCACCTTTCTCGCTGTCGCCACCCACAATTTCCTGTGATCATTGGGAACGAAGACTTTTAGAGGCTTAGTTCGCTTTTGTGTTCGTCGAGGCCGAAGTTAGCTGTAACCAGTCTTCTCGCATCAATCAGTTCGGATGAGGTTGTGAATATTTAATGAGGTTTGCTATCTTTGGGGTGTAAGTTAGCAACTGTCTTCATCGCTGTTTCTACAACAGACGTAATTCCACGTAAGGTTTCCTCAGGATGAGGAATAATCCCACGTTGAGATGGATGCTTAGGCATCTCTTCCCTAAATAAATACTTGGTCTTCTCATTATCCCATCAAGCATGCACAGGTCACAGGTATGCCAGAAAGAGCAGCAATCCTCCACTGGTCCTCCAAGGATGGCTTAAAGCTGTATGATCTCTCTGTGTCCATCATTGGTTTGATGTTGGCGACACCATGTGAGACAGTGTCTCTCTTTATGCTTAAAGTTAGTGCTGGTCATAAACAAGTGACTGGCAGAACAAAATTGCAAGAGGCGATCACCATTATCAGTTTGTTGGCATGGGATTCCATAGACACCTCCGAAATGCTTTTCCTATCGGCCCAGTTTCCCTACTTGAGCGTTGAAGTCACCTACTGTTATGGGTATATCTAAACGTTTTGCTTTCTGCGACAAAATTAATAGCATCATCCGCACTGCAGTTGGTTGGTGCACGGTCTGAGATTATTAATAGGTATCAGCAAGTGTCACGACGTTTCGAAATCTTTACATATCCATTCAGCTGGACAAGATATAGGGTTCTGCTGTCGAGTACTCATTCGGGAGTGCACTTTCGGTCCTAAATGTTAATGCTTTACCTTAACCAATGAATCCATGAGTACTAGCCTTTGAGCCTTCGAGTACTTACAAAGTGAATTTTGGAGATTCACCGCAAAGGTCAAGTTAAATCGAGTCTGTGATCACACTCAGATCCTGTATATATGTCTCAAAAACACGGCATACACTTATGGCTCGAGTTTTATGTGCTTGCTGTCTGATTTTGCATGGTTTTCAGAAGTTGACGGATCCACTGTGAAATCGACAGAAGGGTCTTAGGAGACTAGGGATGAGATTTCCTTGCTCCTCACACCTTGAGATTTGTCTCTGCAGGTTACCTGATAGAGAAAAAGATTTATATAACAGCAGAGTCTATGGGGCATCTGCTTGAGTCCTGTCGCATACAGCCTTTTGAGGATTGTTGGTATGAGATTTGATTATTCTAACACCAGATGGAGAAAACCCATACTGCAGGCACCGCGGGCTGAGAGGGAACATGGTGTATATTGAGCCGACATTTTATACCCCACCACCCTTCACGTGATAGGGACGGCAACATCTGCATAGTAATTTTGGTCATCCGACAGACACAACTTACTGCTGTTACAGCCTATCTATCCAGCAGCATGACTTCTCTCTAGAACCCTCATTGTAGGGTAGCAATTTACACTATATCGCTAACTACTTTTTGTCTTACTAATATCCGACACACCTTTGTGGTAAAGGTGGGATGGCGAGGCCAAAAGCGTCCTAGCCAGTGTAGCTAACTGTGGTGACATACTATCCCAATTACCACGTTGAGGTAGCAGCTAAGAGAGATGAATGTAATCGAATGAATATTGGCCTCTCAATGATTCACATAGTTCCCAGAAATAGGTGGAACAGTTCTAGCGCAGTTTGTGTTTCGTGGAACCAGTAACGCATTAGCCAGGCGTAAAGTCTTTGGCACTAAAGCAAACTCAGTTGGTGATGTTGTGAACCTTCATTGACTCGAGCGACCCAATTTGTGTTACACATGCTGAATCACTGTACCATCACGTTTATTGTTATCTGATATAGGTTCGGACATCAATCCCAAAAGTCTATGACTGTCGGTTTGAGCCGTGTAGGAGAATGTAGACTTCCTGCTTGTGATCCATGTAACGACAAAAAAACAGTGGTTTGAAACCCTAAGTGATATGACCCGGTATCGATCTTTCCATCCTAACTATCATGTGCCTAACTTTATTATAGTTTCATCTCTTGATTGTCTCGCTTCATGACTTTCCACCACTACTGACTACTTCTTTATTTTTCATCCTAGTGTCTTGTAGCTTGATATGGTGATATGAGATGTGATAACCTGTACCGTTAGACAACCATACTTGATCCTATATTGTTTCTCACTGACTGAAAGGATTGTGTATCCACTGCCTTTGTAAATAACAGCTGACAATTCAACTTCGTTCTTTTTTTCGTGCACCAGCATTTAGGTTATCGCTGTCATAAACTTTTCAAAGGCAGGTTTTAATGCTCAGACATAAGAAAACTTCAGATTCTACATTGCCTTACAACTTCGTTAAAAACAGGTTTTTAGACGCATAAAGAAAAATCTCATGTCTTATATTTCGAAAAAAAACTGATTTTGTAATGGCCTTGTTTAACAAGGACCAACAATATTTATTCATTTTTTATTACTTCCGAAAACATGCGGAACCCAACTTTCTTGTGGTATGAAAATCTTAGAAGTATCATTCAACTCCATATGCCCTGTAATAACATTCAGTTTTCCTCTAGTCACCTAATGATTTCTGTGTCCCCTCTTCTCACGCCATTGGGTTTTGCATACTGTCTTCGAATTCGCTCACTTGTGTAGTGCTAACAATTTGAAGTTAAATAATTGCACTTCGGCTTTCATTTGATCGTACAGGAACTTACGCGGCATTTGACTCCGTTGATCGGAAAGTCTTATGGCAATGTCTGTCACTTAAAGGCGTGCCGAGCAAGTGCATCACCTTATTGAAGACTCTCTACTCGAACACTTGTGGGCGTTTTCCAGCCTACGGTGAGATATCCGAGGAGCTGTACTCGTCGAGTGGTGTCCGTCAAGGGTGCCCACTGACTCCATTCCTATTCAATTTCATCATACTTATTTTTATGGGGTCTCCCTCTCGTCACCAGGTTACACAGACGTTGACCTAATCACAGGAGAATTTCCGTTAGACCTAGAATACACAGATGACCTTATCCTGTTAGGTGACGACGCTGACAAGATGCGGAGTCTTCTGGAGACATTGAGTGGGAATTTGAGAATGTTTGGAATGCGTTTCTCACCACCCAAATGCAAATCGTTGCTCCAGGATTGTCTTCCACGGTGCCACGGCTAACAATAGAGGGTATAGTGATTGAGTGTGTCGACCACTTCACTTACCTGGGGAGTAGGATCAGCCCCAGTGGGTCAGTTGCCGATGAAATCTCTGCATGGATACAGAAAGCTCGATTGGCTCTCGGCAACTTACACCGCCTGTGGCTCCGCCGTGATATCCGATTGTCTACTAAGGGTCGAGTATACTGTACAGCAGTCCGGTCTGTTCTACTGTATGGCTTTGAAACATGGCCATTGAAGGTGGAAGACATGGGAAGGCTTCAGGTATTTGACCACCGTTGCCTTCGTAGTATGGTATTCTGTGGTATCACCACGTGAGTGGAAGTCAGGAGTTAAGTTTTAGGGAGAAGAGGTAAGTCGGTTGACGAGGTTGTGAACATTCATCGACTGAGATGGTTGGGACACGTGCTACGTATGCCTAGTCGCCGATTGCCTCGTCACACAATGTTGGCTGAAGTAGGTCTAGGCTGGAAAAAGGCCCGGGATGGCCAGATTAAAACATGGCACCAATGTATGAAGTCTGTGACTGTTGTTTGAGCTATGTGGGATGATGCAGACTAGGTGATTGAGGTCCATGAGATAAGAGGAACCAGTGGTTGGAGACTAACTGTAGGTGATACAGCTCAGAACCGATGTCAGTGGCGCAGATGTATTCCCACACACATTATCCTCATCTTAACGAGGCTATACCGAATCTCACCACTTTCTCATTCTTCGTTTCTCTCTTCTCGTACTTTATATTTCTTTTGACTGAATTTTCTTCTCTTGGTCTTCCACTTCACTGCCTTTTTACTTGATGTACTGATATGTGTGGCAACTCGGACCGTTACGCAGTAATGCTTGGTCCTATGTTGATGTTGATGATGGTGATAGACGTTGAAGGTACCTGTATTCTCATTCTTTGTGACATTTCAGACAAGAAGTTACAATACCCAATGGTGTCATTCCTAGCCACAATTTTTTCTTTGTTTCTGAAACATACATATATACAACCTAAACTCTTTGAATTATTGTTGTGACTGCTGACACTCCACTGTTTAGTAATCTTGAGAAAGGAATGATCACAGCTTATGGACCTTGAGCTTTAGTGAGAACATTAAATCCAAGTGTTGAAGGTTGGTTCTTGGAATCATTTGGAATGCAAAGTCACCTGTGCGCCTGTCATGTACACATCGACTCACTGATGTTTTGACAAATATTAGGATGAACCAGGTATAGATGTATTTGTCATGATGGGTGAATTCCATTTTCAAATTTGGAATCCAAGGTGAGCACAAAGTAAGCACGTTCATACGTAATCCCAGTCCAGCAAAGAGGTGTTAAAATTCAATTATCACAATTGCTTATTTCTAGGCAACACCAAGTTTTAGCACGGCCTTAATGGGTGTTCCTTGATGTTAGGTTAGCAAAGAACAGACAGATCTCTTCCCTGAGCAGCTATATTGAGATACAAATGACAAGTTGATTTCAGCATCAGTGGGAACAGCAATCAAGACCTTTTTATTCATTCAGTACTCCCTTATTTTTTTAACATTTGCCACCTTAATAACGAGTTCTGATTAAAACTTTCCTCTTCGGTTTCATACTTTATATTTCTTCTTAGTACTGACCAATGATAGTTTTGTGCAGTATTATTTACATGATTTGTCTGGTGGTAGTGGCAACTGGCAGTGAAATCCACGACATGCGTTTCATCTTAGTGCCAATATCAAGTAAATAACATTGAAATGAAACTTGAAGCAAATGGACAAAATCAATATGGCATCTTGCACACAAGTGCATCATCTCAAGCTGCCACACTTCACATCGACATGGAAGTGGATAGAAAAAGACTGATATGAAAGAAAACAAAGATGCATAGAGGGGTAAGAAATTTAGAAATTAAGAATAATTAAAACATTCAAACTTTAGGAGAAATCAAAGAGTGAACATATCTTCGCCATTGTGACCGATTTTAAGCCGTTTCATCAGGAATTCTCAACCACATATTTATTTTGTGTTAGTGACTCCAACCAATCAGTCTGCACCCCCCACGACCTAGATCAATAGTCGGATGCTTAATCGACTGGTGAAACGTCTTAGTCTGGCCACCTTGAACCCTCTTCTAATCTAATCCAACTTTATCTAGCATTGCATGTCAGGGTGGGTGATGAATTGTCATGCATCATGTTACTAAAATTGATCGATTAATTCAGTTCAGTATGATAATAACTAACGGAGTACTACGAGGATATGTATATATTTGCATGAGATATCGCTTTCAATTATTTTAGTTTTGTTTTTTGCTTTCAACAGGCATCACTAATCCATGTAACTGACTATGATGAACGTGTTAAACGTGTTGATAATTATAAAAATAGTTTAGAAAGTTTAATTGCACCACAACTGATACAATCCCTCGATGATTTAAGCTCATTTATGATGAAAGATGAACCACCATTAATGATGAATGGTAGGGAGAAAGGGAGATATAGTGGTGATGGTGATGATGAGGGCAAGGAGGATGCTATTGATATTCTGACCACCGAAACGTCTCTTCTTTATTATGCTGCAGAACTGAAAACATCTCGTCATTTAATCAACTTGTTATATCGTATTGGACGTGAAGATGCTGCTAAAAATTATTATCGTAATTGGTTAAAAGTAAGAATTAGTATGTATTTAATATACCTTGGTTTAACAGTTTTTGTTTTTGTTTTAAGACGATAGAAAAAGAAGATTTATAACTGAAACTGTAATGAGGATGGCAATTGTTTTGATGTATGTTTCTCCCCGCAACACCCACCCCTCTTCCTGATCTTCCATATGGAATATCATCAGCACTTACACTGCATAGATAAAAATTACGTAACTCAATCCAGTACAATATGTTTATGCACTGAGCCGTCACTCACACTTATTTTGTGAAGGCTTATTCTATTCTACAAGACTGTGATGAGAAGACTTCTGGATGACTTGGCTTAGTCTGGTGATGAAGCATCCATTAAAAAATCTTTATGTCTGGAGAATAACAAATTATTATTTTAATTGTCATCTCTAAGTATTCTTACACATCACGCCTATTGTAAATCAAGTATCTGAACAAACTGATTTTGAATGCATGGTTCGCGTTTCAGTATATGAATTACCAGTGACTTCCTCTACAGTTATATATGAATTGGGCTGGACAGGTGATGAGTGTAAAATCGAACTTGAAGATGTTCTTTTATTACTACACTGTAAAACCAAGCTGTTATGTTCACGAAGATTCGTTTAAAGAGCGAACGACCAATCTACCTTACTCCACTGCTGCTGGTTAGTCGACAAACCCATCGAGATGATCAAAGGGTTAGCTTACCCTTCATATGTAATCGGAGCATTTGATGAGTGGAAAAATGTAGCCTGAGTCTAACAGCATAAAAAGTCTTTATTAATGAGAGTGACAGACGATTTCTTAATATTTCTTGCGGTGAATCTCCATTGAAAGTATAAGTCCACGTTTTTGTGTTCGTTAACAAAATTTGTTTTAAGGCATACATGAGATAATGATTCAATAGGATTTAAGGAAATAACGGGATTGGTATTCACCACAAACCATAAAGCCATTAGAAACCTAGGTACATTGGGCGGCTGTTCCTTCCTAGTATGGTACTCCTATGCAGTGGATCGACTAGGGTTCGAAATCAGGACCTTCAGATTTCACGGCGAACGCCTCAACCATTCAGCCACTGAATCGGTTTTCAGTGGTTCTTAGTTTCCAACTTTTGTCAATTCACGATATAGCATGACTATCACCCAAGGTCTTCAGTTGGCATCCGCTTCCTTTCCCACTGGTTGACCCCACAAGTCACGGCTTCTCATTAGAACTTCGTTATATCCATGTGGAAATATGTCGCTAATGTATTTTGAGGTTAATACGCATTTGTTTTTAAGGTGCCATTCATCACGTACTGACATCAGTTGAGGAATCATTAAAAACCTGGGTGCCTTTGACGGCTGTTTCGTTCTAGTATGGGACTCTTCAAAACTGCACACTGACACCCCCTTCAAAAGTCGGATCCAGAACTCATAGGCTTCGCACCAAGCATGTTACCATTGGGCCACTGAGTTTTGACTCTGTGGTCCGAATTTTCTTTTTTCTAGCGTCGTATCGCAGACCGGCAAAGTACGAAATTGTATGTGAACCATTGTATTTTAACTCAGTGGTTCCGTGATAATGTTCTAGTCACATAACCTGAAGGTCTTGGGTTCGATCCTTTGCGTGATTGTCATTGCACACTACCGAAAAGTCTCATACTGAGGCGAAACAGCTGTTCAGTGCTCGCAAGTTTTTAATCTTTCTATAACTGACGTCAGTCTGTGACGAATACCAACATGACATCAATAAGATCCACGCGAACCTCCAAGTTGAAATTATATTTTTGTTAGTGTTGTCTTCTTTGAGCTGAATGGTTTAGTCGTGAAGCTATCATTGTCTTTCTAGACATTATCATCAACACTACTACCTTCAATAAAAATGAAGTGAGCTATTATAATTTCCCCGTGAGTGATTTAGTAGCTTGCCTTGACGAACTGGTTTGTGATTGGTTATTTCTTTTGGTTGTTGTGTCACTGACTGTATAAACTTTCCTGTTGACTATCCGTCTGCTTGACCTCTCATCTTTCTGTCGTTCATCATTTTTCTCATTGGTTGATACATTGAGTTTATGTCTATACATCTATTAAATGCCAAGCTTCTAGGAATTCTCTGATGTCCTTTGTGTTTCCTCTCTCCGTCCAAAATTTCTACATTGTCAAAATTAAATTCATTTCCGTAGTTGTTATCCACGTGCATTGTAATGAGTGATGAAATGTCATGACGTTTAATGGTTAATTGGTGTTCATGTAGATGCAGGCGAAGAGGGCAACCACTGTCCAATGTAATGTTGACCAAAATTACTGTAGTTGATTTTGTAAATGATATTCGGTTTGTCTTCTTTGGTTGTTGGGTCCTGTGATCTGTACAGTAGGGTTTGGAGCGAATTTGTTGACCTATGAGTCACACCAATTGCAAGTGGTTTCTTTAATCTTGTCGGAATCTTCGGTACATTCTTTATGTACGGTAGGATGATACGTTTGTTGGTTTCTGTTGATGATCTTTTAGTTGATAACGTGCAGGATAAACATGTGATAAAGTTTTATGGGTAGCCGTTCTTCTTTAGGATAGACATCAAATAATTTTCTTCGTTTCTCCGTGAAGTTGTTGTACTGCAGTGTGTTCTCGCTCTTTTAAATAAAGTCTGTAAGCAACTAATTTCATGTTTTGTTGGTTTGTTGCTACTATAGTCAAGGATTTGATCTTCATAGATGATTTCATATGGAGGTTAGTACTGCTACTTATCTTATTGAGAAATACAATGAACGCTTCACCATTAAGTCATTCACCTCAGAAAATCCCATACAACCAAGGTCATCCACTTGAGCTTCAAATATTCTTCATTTCAAATGAATGTTTTGCTTACTCATAGGATAAGTTGACAAATTTCTGGAATCGCAGTTTCTCTCAAACAACGGAATCATCTGCAACAACAGACTCCTTGTTATTGGCCTCAGTTATTCGGAGATTATCTACTTATCCGTCTAACTTAACTGGAACGAATCAACGAACAAAAATCAATTGCCTAGCGCATACATCTGAGAATGATAACTTTCAGGACATAAATTCATCAATTCTTATCAATAATACAATGTATTTCTACTCATTATTGATTTGTTTCTTCAAAGGTCAGGTAAGTGTATCAGAGAAAATAAAAAAACTTGGTGATTATAAACGAATTCCTCTTTTTCTCTATATCTCACTTTAAACTTCTTTTGATAAATGCGTTTCTATGTTGAAGTATGTTTTGTCACATACTATCACCATTTGGAAAACCATTGAGAACATAGAACAGCTGTGAAGACAAATACCCTCATCATGATATCAGATGATACTCTCTCAATGCGGTTAATTAACTGAAGTAGGAGTTAATGTGTCATTGGATTTCAGTCTAGTAGTTGAATGGGAATAGGCTCGTTACGACACCTGATCGTCCTGTGCTTGCAGCCTCACGGGGTCGTGGTTACACACTGATGAATCCCAAACTATGGCAAAAGAGCTACCTGCTACTCTTAGGTTATCAATTCTCTAACTGATTTCAGTCCCTGATGAACGCAAATTTGAAATCAGTTAGTTCCCAAAAACCTTTATAGGGATTTTTTTTCGCGTTGCTGCTGCTTCAAGTCGGAAGAAACCCTTTGTTTTGATGTGAAATGCAATACAAGTCAGTCAGTCTATTACTGCGATATCCAGCTATCAAGAAGATTCCATTTAAAGTATTCTAGACATTTCGAATTGATTCATCTCCGAAGACAGTTGATTTTCAACTCATGAATCATGAGCTGAGACCCCTTCCCATCTATCGAGATGCAGATAGCTGATTAGTATTATTCCTAACCTGCACACAATAGGTGTGGCTGATTCCTCCTCAGTACACAAATTTGTTTAACTGTCGTCAGTTCATCTAGTATATAATCGATAACTCAAATTTTATTGATTCAAATTCCACTGTTACTTACACATACTTTCTTGCAGTCTCCTATTTTAGTGCTCATCATGAGCCGACATCAGTTGGAGACACATTGAAAGCCTGGAGGCACTAGATAGATGTTTCGTTCAGGCATGTGCTCAGCTGTGTGCACCCACGACCCTGCTAGGAATCGGACCCGGGACCTTCAAGTTCCGCGGCCAATACTTTGCCATTGAGCCACTTGGTCTAGCCCCACCGGTCCATATTTCTTACTCCTATCAGTTCACGATATAGCGTAACCTCCACCCAATGCCGTTATTGAGTAACCGTCCTCGTGTTCAACTTGGTTGACCTTACCGGTCTGTGCTTCTCTTTAGTATTTCAGGAACCACCTATCGAAGCGAGTCACCAATAAGCACTAGAAGGTAATTCAATTTTGAGGTTTGTCGGGATTTACTGATTGATTTCAGGTTGGTGCTTTTTCCTACGTCTGTAGATAAACTAGATTAGGTTGACAGCTAATGGATGCCATCTGGCTACCAAAACACTGTGCGTTTATGGACAAGTTGATCACGTGTCTCTCTAGCTGAAATTTCAACACTTAAGTCATTCAATCGCCCATTGAGCTATAATAATCAATTATAATTTGTGTGATGTGCATGATTCCAATATAGAGAGTGAAGCAGGTAGTAGATGAGGCGTAACGACATCGGCTGAGTACATTTAGCCTCTTAATGAAGTTTCTTTACGCCTATAAACTACTTTTGAATTACTATTTCGTAGTAATAAATGTAGTGTAACATTTCATGCTTAAGCATGTAATTTATAAATAAAGTAAGAACTGTGGCTGATTGATCTACACGTTCGATTTTTAATCAGCAGGTCGCGGAGTTAAACCTCACTCCGCTTACTAAGTCCTCGGCTGTCAGGCTTTATTGTTAGCCATCAAATAATAGGTGTGGCTGACTGCCGCTTACTGCAAACACTTGCCCTTCGTCCCTGAGTTCATTTCGATATTTTTTAATGAATAAAGTGGCTGAACGATCGAATTATTACTTGGAAACAAGTTCTCTTTAAGTGTCTGCCGTATTGAATAAAATGCATTCGAAACTTACAGATAGAATAGACTTCTTATTCCAAGGTTTCAGATGTGATTTTTCTTAGTTTGAAGGATTGATGTCTGCTTTGAAAGCTTCTTAAAGGTTACACTCATAAGTTTATAATATGATGGGAATTGAAGACGTTCATGACTGTGAGTAATATATACAGCTCTCTAGTGTCTACTGTTTAGCACTATTCGAAGTATCTTGTGATCATCTTTGAAGTGCACCTGCTAAAATAGGTGATATAATGCTACACTGCACTATATTTCGGGATTACGTATCATTGGGCTCACTCATTAGCTCGGCTTATTTACAGCTATTAGAGAACTGGTTCTTCTGTGATGCTTCAGATCCATGATACTGTGTGGTGAAAGCAGAGATTTTGTCACCGATCCATTGAGGTCATGACTGACCTCCGATAGGACTGAATTTTATACACCAATTAGTCACCTTCGAATAACCGCTATTGCACTGAGCCAAAAAAGAATATGCGTAACCTGGGACCCTAGCTCGCTTTCTAACGACTAACACAACAATACCCAAATATATGATTGTTTTATTGATTGACTGTCTTGTATGATTTACAAACTGTGCATTTCACCTTGACAATTCTTCCAGTTTTTTTTCCAACTGCCCAACTATAGTGTTCACAAGGCTTCCACTGGAAACTACCCACCAACCAAAGTGGGTGATACAAAAGTGTCATGAACTAGCGAAACTTTACTACTAAACAACTCGAATAGTTGCAAACCACGCGGGTTAGTCTGTAAATTTTACCAACCACCTAGGTAGCTAGATCAGAGTCATCTAAACACGAAATGATCGTTTCGCTTTTTTGGGTCTGAGCCAGTTCTTCAGCGGTGTACTAGGACAATTTCAACTCGCAGAGGCGAATCAGTTAAAATCACCTGAATTTGGCTAGCTAACTTGAAATCAGTCTAATCTGGTTGGAAAAGTCTACAGATACCCTGAGTGCTTTCTAACTATTCAAGTGTTTCAGTAGTAGTATCTTTCGTCATGTGTACCATGCTCTTATTCTTACAATTAATTAAATTGAAATTGAACTGCTTTCTATTTCCGGTGATTTCTTTCTTCTTTGTATAGCTAGGTGCTAGATTATTTCACAAATCACAAAAAGATCATCATCTTGAACAAGAAATTTCTTATCCTATTGGACTAGTTTTGGAATTCACAAACTTACTGGTTTCTTTTCAACCATTTCAAACATTTACGAATTCCTTGGTAGACTATCGTCTAGTTGGATGTTTATTTCGAGTGAGCAATTTGTTTACCATCCTTGATCTGCATGTAGCTTCTTTTTTCTTTAAATTGATACTCAGTGATGTACGCATTGATCGAAAAACCATTCTTGTCGATCAACTATGCTTATGCTTGTGTTTAGTTGTTTAATGATGATTTCACCATTTCAGACATATCCACTGATGATGATGATGAAGAACTTGAAGGCAAATATGGAAAATGATCACCTAATGGTTGTATGTGCAAACTGAACGTTTAGGCAAGGAGCCATACTTACTGTATGTGGGCCAGTGATACTACCTACCTACCTACCTACCTACCTACCTACCTACCTACCTACCTACCTACCTACCTACCTACCTACCTACCTACCTACCTACCTACCTACCTACCTACCTACCTACCTACCTACCTACCTACCTACCTACCTACCTACCTACCTACCTACCTACCTACCTACCTACCTACCTACCTACCTACCTACCTACCTACCTACCTACCTACCTACCTACCTACCTACCTACCTACCTACCTACCTACCTACCTACCTACCTACCTACCTACCTACCTACCTACCTGAAACGTAGTAGATGGGGCGGGTTTCAGACCCATAACTTATTGGTTGGTTGTTAAGTGCATAAACTAGGGAGTTACAACTCTGATCAACTTTATCTTACTAACAGATGCTAATGATTTGTGTTCTCATTATTACTGCCATTGTGTTTATCATCAGTAGTTTGTAGCATGCTGTTCCCTATAGCCTCATTGTCAACACAGTTGATAACTTCAGACAGGTCACATCTTATAGTTTAAGCACTGTATTTTCTAAAGTAAACCATAGTATGGATTTTTGCAGTTGGATTACATCTACTTGTGTCATCTTCCCACTGGATTGTAAATCTGTCAAAAACTTACTTCAATTCATGTGTTGAAACATCATTAGTGCACAGTATTGAATGTCTCCAATGTAACGTACTGAACAGTTCTCTGATGCTGTTTTGTTTTAAGCCATCTTTCAAAAGATTTTCCTCATTGATCACAAAAAAGCCTCTTTAAATTGACTTTTTCTTATAAACATCCAATTAATTTATCTGCTCTTATTAATAATTCTTATTGATTGTTCATCATGATTCACAGATTTGCTTTTCCTTTTTTTATCGTTCATTAATAAGATAAATATTCGCGAAGTTAAGTCTGTGTCTTCTCACTCTTGTCAAATAAGCTTACTATCGCACACACTTAGGCCTTAGTTACAAACTGATTACATTCTTATTCTTGTGGATGAAACCCTTCTTTCTCTCGTTGTTGGTTTTTTTATATCTAGTTGACTTCAAAAAAATCTTTTATTTGACGATTAGGTAAGGAAGATGACACTGTCTTGGCTTTATTTAATCCTGCACTTTACCTATTCTTCGTTGTTGTTCCCCTGTAGTCTTTCCTGGTTTGGTGACTGAGGGCTATGTTATATTGCCTAGAGCTGTGCAACCTGTCAGTGGGGTAAGTGGTGTACCTCTGGGTCAACTGATTAATACAGTAGTTGACAGACAGTTCAATTGGCTCTGAGCATCCACTTTATTTACACCTCTCACCCTTGTATCTGCTCATAGAGGACAAGGCAAATTCACACTTGACTTTGTACTCCCATGGCTAAATACAAAAATTCAACTGTACTTTAACCAAGCGATATGTTGTGTGTGTGAAGACAGAAATCTTAGATGAGACGTTACTCATCAACTTTGTAACAGTAAATGTACAACCATTTCAATGTACTAACCAGTCATGCATTATTGTCTTCATTATTATTGAGTGTTGTATGTGGGTTAATTTTTGTTGCATGCTGAGACTTCCAGAGTGTATGGAAAACATTGTCTGGAATAAAGTGATTGTTGTTATTATTGCTATGAAAATATTTTATCACGAATTGGGTCTCATAGTCAATTTAGTAATGATAGCCATCACAAAGAACGAACGAAATTAACCTTAACCAATCAATTCATCTTATAAGGATAGAGAAAAGGCATGATTGCGTATTACACCCACGAATTCATAGTCATGAAAAGTGTTTCCGGTTTTTCAATGATTCACTAATTGATCTCAGTCCGCGATGTATATGGCCTTAAAATTAATCAATCCTGACAGACCCCTAAAATGGAGTATTCTCATCAACCTATTGTAGACGTAAATCTCTGCAAAATTGTTGCACGTTTCAATGTTGCTTTCACTGCAGAACGAAATTAGCTATATAGTCATAGAATACTTTAAGGCAATAGACTATTGCTTTGTATTAGTCGGGGGCTATTCATCACCGCGAATCCATAACAATGTTCAGGCCTCACTTTGACATTCAGTTACTATGCGTGAATTCACTGGTGTACAATCGAATTTCTGTAGTTTCGCAATGCATCCTAACTGTCATCACTTATCATCAGTGCTTGTCTGTCCTCCCACTCAACTTTGTTGGCCTCACAACTCACCATCTCTAGACCAGATACTACTGAGCACAGTTTTCATAAATTTAATACAAATATACTTGTTTTCCAATCCACTATACTGATTACCTTTTAATTTGTTTTTATCAGTTGACTGTTAGGTGTTTACAGTGTTTTGAAGAGCTCCTGATTCCTTTTGATTCATGTAAGTCTTCGTTGTTTTGAATTACATAATATCTGCTATTGCATCCCATACAATGTAGAGTTATGTACCGTATCATTTGTGAAGCTGGTATTTCTATATTCAGGCTACGTTTTTCGCTATAATCATAATGTCCGCAATACCTAATATGACTCATGGATTGATGTTATGCTTCGATACAATCAATCCAAAACGTCTTCCTCCTCTGCCCCAACTCCTCCGTCCTTCTCTCTCTCTCAACACTGATGCACTTAGTTACCCTCAACTGTCTAAAACCATGCACCGGACTCCAATATTTTCGATCTCTGATGCCTTTGGCAGTCGCTAACAACCCTTGAATACCTATCAAGGGAGATATGACTCGCTGATTTAACCTGTAAGCTTTTAACTCGTGAAATATGGACTTGAACCCCCATCATCTACCGAGGTTTCAGCAGCCATACCAATGTCCATGTCATTGCTGAATATAAGTGTAAAAATTGGACACTGTGCTAGCATGTAAATTCCATTTTAGATTTGTCGATTTCATCAATAACACATAGTGATACAGTATTATTTCCTTGATTACGTTTCGAGAACAAATTATCATTGCTCATAATCATATCAAACCTCGCCTTAGTAACTAGTTCACTAGTTACTAGCCGGTCCTAAGTCCAGATGAAAAGAGAAGATTGGGCATTGGGCGAGCAACCCTAACCCGTAAAACCAATTCAATCACTAAAGAAACTTCAAGGCACAAACAAATAAAAATGAACTTATTCCTCGCTGGAATCGGAGAGACGAAATCACACCAGTTGGTGTAAGTCTTCGGGAAGCCAATTGGCCGATGTGTGTTCTCTTCTCTCGATGAAAGAGAAAGGAAGGATGGAGACATGGAATGTCTGCACAATGTTTGAAGCTGGCTAACAAGGCTACCCAGATTGCAAAAGATATGAGAAAATAAGGCATAGAAGTGCTAGGAATCTGCGAAAGCAGATGGAATGGAAGTGGACTCTCCAAACTGTCAACTGGAGAGTCAATAACCTACTCCGATATTGTCACCCAGACGACAACCACGAGCACACCGAGTTTTGGAGTGGCTATCATGATGTCCCCTCGAAGAGCATCGAGGACTGTCATGCAGTGGGAACCAATCTCCTCCTGCAGGATCATGACAACAAGATTCAAATCAAAAGGAAGGAAAATCACAGTCATACAATATACTGGGCTGCGCACCTACAAATAATGCAGATCAAAAGAAGAAGGAGGAATTCTACAGACAACTGCAATCACTACTGGACAAGACCCTATCCGAGTTGGCGACATCGAAATTCTAATGGGTGGGGTGACATGAATGCCAAACTGGGAGCGGACAACACAGGAAGAGAAGTGATCATGGGTCGAGAGGCACTCGTTTGTGAAATGAACGAGAGAACTGGAGAACTGTTTGCAGACTTCTGAGCATTCAACGATTTGGTGATTGGAGGCAGTGTGTACAAATACAAGGATATTCACAAAACGACATGTATTTGATTTCACCAGATGGACACACTACACTACACTAAAAATCAGATTGACTTCATCTCAATATGAAGAAAGTGGAGACGCAGCCAGCCTAGTGGACACAAGATCAGATAAAGAAGGGGAGCAGATGTAGGTTCAGACCATTCACTGTCTAGTGCAAGGAACCCTCAAAATCAAGTTGAAAGCCTCCAAAGAAGCTGATGATAGACCAGAGTTCAAGTTGAACACCCAGAAAAGTAACTGAAGGACGAGACTACAAACCACATCTTCACATCAGTCATCAGGAAAGAATGGGAGACATTAGGCAACATCGCTGTGGAAACCTGTGTGGAAGAACACTGGAATTCTTTGAAAGAGACGTGGAAAGATGCCTGCATGACTGTATTAGGAAGGAAGAAGAAGAAGCAAGACAAGGAATGGATCTCGACGGACATATGGAAGCTGATAGAGGAGAGGAGGATGGTGAAGCAGAAGATGAACCAGTGCAGTACAGTGGAGTGCAGGGAGGAACAACGAAGAGAGGAACTGAGTACAACGTATAAAACACTGGACAAAGAAGTGAAGAAGAGTGCGCGGAAAGACAAGAGACACTTCTACGACACATTGGTGAGCGAAGGAGAACAGGCTGCTAGTAGGAGAGACCTGACAACATTATATCAAATAACCAGGTTACTATCTGGGAAGAGATCAACACAGATGAAACCAATGAAAGATAGTCAAGGAAACTTGGTTACCAAAGCGGAGAAACAAAGGAAACGATGGGTTGACCACTTCAAAAAAAACTCTTGAGTAGACCACCACCACCACCACCACCTGCAACTCGTCCAGAAATACTACCAACAGCCAGCTACAGAACCATTAGTGAACACAAGCCCTCCGCCAAAAGCAGAAGTCCTGAACGCCATAAAGTTACTGAAAGCCGGAAAATCAGCAGGACCAGATGGAATTCCTCCAGAAGCACTGATAGCAGACTCAGAGATATCAGCAGCGGATATGCTCACACCACTAGTGCAGAAGGTTTGGAAGGAAGGAAGAAAAGGTACCTGCCGGTTGGAAGAAGGGCTTCCTTATCAAACTTCCAAAGAGGGGCGACCTAAGTCTTTGCAAGAACTGGTGCGGAATCATGCTCCTGTCCACCCAAAGCGAGCAAAATATTAAACTACTCATCCTGGAGAGATTAAAAAATGCTCTGGATTGAAAATTATCACCGGAACAGGCTGGCTGGCTGGCTGGCTGGCTTCAGGAAGAACAAATCGTATGCGTATCAAATTACAATGCTACGCTAAGCATCATCATAGAACAGAGAATAGAATGGCAGTCAACTGAATCTCTACCTCAACCTCATCGGTTTTGAAAAGACCCTGGACAGCGTTGACCGAGAAGTAGTTAGACAGCTGCTTCAACACTACGGGTTTAATGCTACAAACCTTTATCAACCTCATTCAACAGCTGTATGCTATGTGAGGATGCTACATGTCAACTGATTCACAATGGAAAGTTCAATGATGCCTTTGAAGTGAAGATGGGAGTAAGACAAGGCTGCCGCCTACTATCACCGATGATCTTCCTGATTGTGGTCGACTCGACTGGACTGGATCATGCAACAAACTGTGAGGAGCTGTGAGAATATGGGCATACGCTGTCTGACCGATGAAAAGAGCCTAGAAGATTTGGATTTCGCCAACGATGATGATTTATGTCTAATGTCTTGTGGCACAAACTCGAAGATGTACAGGCAAAACTAACAAGTTGACAGAAGAGGTAGGGCAGCGAAGACGGGACTTCAAGTGAACGTAGAGAAGATACCCGACCAACAACAATGTCAACGACAAGCGCCGATCACCGTGAATAGGAGAAACCCAAAAGAAGTAGTCTCTTTCACCTACACCTATCTAGGCAGCATCGTTTCAACTACAGGTGGCACAGGCACAGATGAGGACGTCAAAGCAAGACAGACCATCATGAATCTGAAACTAGTGTGGAGATTCACTCCACTCAGTATAAAGAACAACATCCGGATTTTCAACACTAAGTCAGTCAAGTCAGTACTTCTGTGTGATGGTTGAGAGACTTGGCGCGTTACAGAAAGCATTTCCAACAAAATACAGATATTCATCAACAGCTGCCGCCTACTCTCACTCGATACTGAAGATCAGATCAGATGGCCAGAAGGAATAAGCAACAAGGAACTCTGGCTGGCTGGCAACGAACAACCCATCGCCCAACAAATATGTAGAGGAAAGTGGAAATGGATTGGATTGGGGATACACCGAAAGGCCATTTGGGAACATCACGCGCCAGGCCAGTCTCTCGGTTTTTGGAGCTAAATGGGACACGACGAGTTGGGCGTCTGAGGGTGATATGGAGGAGATGGTGCGAGGAAGAAATGAAAGCTTTTCGGCAGTCATGGAGCAGTGTTAAAACGACTGCAGAGAAGAGAGTGAAATGGCGACGTGGAACTGAAGCCCTATGCTCCACTAGGAACCCAAGGGACAAATAATAATAATAATATCAATGTTATCACACTCCTTTCGGTATCTGATTTTATAGTCCTGTCACCCACCTTATATTCTTTGTTTTTATTGGTAGTAAAGTTTTCCATATCTCTGGTATAAGTGTTGTTGGCTGATTTGACGATTCAGTTATCAACCTCTCTCTCTCCATCTGACTATATTTGACTTGAGTTCAGTGGTTTTATCCCACCCATCCTATTGTGTGGTTGTGTGTTAGTGCATGAATTCCTATAGTCGAGTTTTCTTCAAGATTATTGATCTTTGTCGGGTCAGTTATGTCATTCTATATTTAGCTGAGTTTCTACGTTCCGTTTATCTGACTGACCTGGATCGGCCAGTTTGACCGTACTCATAGTCATTACATGGAATTTGATAGATTAGATTATTTTGTTTAATTGATTCTGTCGGATCCTTAAGCCAGCTGACAAAGCTTATCTTTGAGTTAGTTTGCAGGTTTAAATGTCACTCTAATTGTAGCTTTGTTGAGGATCCTACGTAAAGTTTCTGGTATTCCTTCGTTATGTGGCGATATAATAGAGGCTTAGGACTTGTTTTCACCCATATTTTCGTTATTATTTGTGCTCGTGTTATTGTCATTATTTCGAATCGAATCAATGCTCGACACGTGTAAATGAAGTGACGCAACACCTATTCCAGAGATATTGCTACATATCATCTTAGATGAAGGTCACTGTTGTATATTATGTTGAATATTTCATCTACCCAGTGGTTTCTGTAATTTGACAATGATCGCATTGACTTTTTGTGTCCGTGAGCACTAGGCTACCGAGTTGGTCAACTGCTTCACTCTTTAGTTTTGATATGAAATTCGGTATCGGTGTTATTGTACTCCAGTATATAGGCAGAGAATGAAGACACACTTCACTCTCGTCTATCTCACTCTTCACCTCATCTCAATTGGTATGTTCACATTAGCTGCCAGTAGGCTGATGATACTCTGCTTACTTAAGTTGCTGGAGCATATCATGGCGAATGGATGAATGGTTGGGAAAATATGGAAAGCTTCACGATTTCACGTGTCATCCTTGCACAGGAGCCATGCTAATCTCTTTATCCTTCCAGCCTTTCACCCTTGCATCGTTTTTATATTCATATTCCCACCTAAAGTAATTGGAAGACTGTATTGTTTCAACCTGCTTTCATCGAACAAACTAATCTCGTTACGAATAACCAAGTTTTTTTTATCATTTGCCAACTCTTGTCATCTACAGACCCAGGAAGATATCCACCTATATACCTAAGTGATAGTATATTATGTAGTAGACCTTTGTGCTACTTTTTTGGATTTAAGACATACTTGTTGCATGTGTTCAGTTGTGGGTGTCTTCGAAGCATACTACTCACATGTGACAAAGTCACAATGTGAGCAATTTTGAGGTTTAGATCTGGAATACTGAGTGAAGGAAACGAATTTGTCTAGTCGGTCGACGGGGTTGGCAACCGTCTACACTGACTGATTTAACCGAAATCTGTGCTTGACACACAATCTCACGTTTAGGGGAATTCATATAATTATAATAAAAATTGTTCGGATAAATAATACCAAAGCCAAGATTTCTTTACTCACCTGCCTAGTTTATCTCATCGTTTCTTCATTTTTACCTTTCATTATTTTTTTTCAAAGTCTCCTCAGACATTACACACAGTGATGTCGTAACACTGTCGAATGATGGTAACAATCATGTCAAAGATGATAGTTTTGTTAATCATTTGAAAAATGCCTACATCCGATTGATTCAAGGGCTGATTAGTCCATTCATAGGTTTGCCTGAATTATTTGCTAAATTTCTGCGTAAACAATTTGATCAAGAGTTGAATACACTGAATATTGTAAGTCTTCTTGTCTATTTTCAAATGGTAACTCAGTTTACTTTTTTTTTTAATGGAAAAATATACTCTAAGTCTGGTTTCAATGATTATTTATAAAGATCTTGGAGCCTAGCAGAGGAATCCAGGACGCGCATTTCATCCTATTTGCGACTCATCAGCTGGATGTACATGCATCTCAATGAGTGATGTTGTTCCCACCGAGGCTCGAACTCAGTACCCTTCGCCTTACTTTATAAAAACTGTGCGTAATTGAAAGGGATGGTTCATTGACTTTCTTGTTCAATTCAGATAGAAGCATGCCATGTAATCACTTGTTTTGTATTGGTGATCTAAAAGCTTTTAAATAGTCAAAATTTACAACTATCTCCTGTTCTTGTCTTTTTAAAGTATGATTAAGTTGGCAATTGTTGACTATTGGTTGGGTTAGACACTTAACCTTTTGTTCTAAATTCAAATAGTCCCCTTCCCGTCAGTATTTCACAGAGGGATACATTATACCACCTATGCTGAACCATTAAATCCAGCTTATAGGCTAGTAAGCGAATGTCGACGTGGTGATTCATGAGTAATGTATATGATTAAAACCAGTGAAGTGTAGATACCTGCGCTTGCACTCGTCTTTGGCGACGAATAGAAGGAATATGTTGAAAATTGTTTGCATCAATTGTTAATGTTTTAAAAATGTTGTATTATGGATAAAGTGATGTGATAACACACCGAGAATTCTGTACTGTGAACATAACTATGGTACGGAATAAAGCAAACATATAATTATTATATTAATTATACTTATGTGATTCCTGGTGGAGCTATGTGACTGATGATATTCTCAACCTCGTTCTGAAATCCTGAGAGCGGCATATACCAATCTGGATCATCTTTGATACCGCTGCTGTAAGAAGTCAAGTGTACAATGCATCGGTGAGGCCAGCTTTGCTCTACACCTCTGAAACCCAGTCGTAAAAGTTAGACAAAGGTTTCGAAAGGCGTCTTGTAGAAGTTTGAAAAACAGGTAGCGTATATTGATTAGTTGTCTCCGTAGAATTGGGTCTACTAGTGACTTTATATGTGTGAGGGAATCATCGATATGTTTCAATTTCAACACAGCAAAGGTGTCATCCACACATCGCCCCCATATTTTTGCTGCAGGATTCTTGCGAGTTCACTCGTCCAACGAGGTTACTAGCTAAATGATAAAGGCTGGTCCATACATAGCATCAATTAGAAAGATAAAGACACCTAATCAGAATAAATTTCATGTGTGCATAACAGGATAGAAAGGCAAACGTGAGTAAGAGTCGTCCCAAATACAGAAGTGTGAGTGAGTGAGTGGTAGGATTAAATCGCGAATGCACCTTGTTACAGGTCTGAGTTAGACATAATATATATTCCACAAAGAAAATCTCAATGATATCGATGTGATTAGCTAATGAAGTGGTACTAGCAGATTTGGTATTTGTTGGACATTCGTCGAAAATCCGAATACATAACTCTTGAAATAGTTTTAGAAACCAAATCATTGTTCTTCCTCACTACTGCAGTCGAGGATGAGGAGTAAATTAAAAAGCCAATCAATCAGAATGAAGAGCATATCGGCAACAAGATGTCGTTTGTAGTTTCGTCCTTCAGTTACTTTTCTGGGTGTTCAACTTGAACTCTGGTCTATCATCAGCTTCTTTGGAGGCTTTCAACTTGATTTTGAGGGTTCCTTGCACTAGTCAGCACTGAACTCAATACTACATTAGGTACGCATTAGTGATGAATTCTGTTGATAGAAAATGTATGTCATAGTATAGAAGGACTGTACATCTATGTAATCTGTCTAAGAATGGAATACAAAACCTTTCAAATTCTATTCTGAGCATATTTGTATTCCAATCATTGGACTTAATTGCTAAGGTTGAAAATCCCTGTGCATTCGATAATGTTGAGTGAAATTATTTCAGTCTATACATTATGATAATGATTTTATCTTCTTAAAATTAAGACATATTACAAATCTTCATCTTAGCACTTGGGTCATATTTGTCCTTCTGAAATATGATATCTGCAGTGTTCTTCTTGAGGGAGAGGGTCGTTTGATCTATCCTCCTCTACTTGTCATTGGTCTACGAGGTACACGCGTTCGAATAGCATACTAGTCATCATTTCCAATATCACTTCGTAGTGTTGATAGAACCGATGATTGTATTATAGTTAAAGTAGGTTTCTAAAATAGTTCTCATTGAAATCTAACATCATTTAAAGAACCATTGAACTCTTGGACCTATCAGATAGTTACTTGATCCTATTTCGGGACTCTGTAGCATCGTCCACTCATAGCCATCAGTAGACACACACAATAGGCACATCACCATTCAGCTACTTGGTTGGGATATAAGCTTTCACTTCTTCTCACTGTGAATTCAAAATAGGATGCCACAATCATCCAATGTCATCGATAATTAACTGTAACTTAGTAACTCTCTGACTCAGTTGACCGCATTGATCAAGACCTCTCATAAGAACATTGGGAAGTTCATCTTAACGCAAGTCACTAATGAACACTGGGTAGTGATTTAACAGCTGGTTTATGAAAATTGATTGATTTCAGAGCAGATTTTTTCATATGGCTGGATAGTGATCTGCTCTCTATGAAACCTGACAGTTGATCGATCTCGCGGTCGTGAGTGTGCATTACTGAGATGTCCTATACTTAGAAGAAACAGCTATTCAGCACTTAACTGATGTTAATTTTTGATGGAAACGACTTTGAAATCAATCAATCGTCACGCACCAATTGAAAGTGTTTCCTGTTGTATTCCTTCGAATGTTAATTTCATTCGTTGTGCATATTTGAGTAACCATATAGATAACACAGAAACTAAGTGTAGAGTCTTCGGGGGAAAGCCACTTAATGAGATAGTAAACTCTCATCGACCAAGGTGACTAAGAAAAGTGTTTCGCATTCCAGTCACCGTCTACTCCACCGCACATAGGTTTATTGATGGCGAAGCTAGAATGTGTTACCCAATCCGTGAATTGTTTGACTTTCTGACCAAACTTTGTTGAATAATCTAAACCTCCTGATTGGCGGCCACTTGACATCCGGGATCTATGGTTGTGGAGGCTTTTGGCCATTTGGCTCAGGATCGGCGTCAGTGACACAGCTGTATCCGCACATCAGCTTCATCCTACTCATCATGTCACATTCAAGGATTGTTTCGCCCCTTCCTCTTCTTCTTTTTGTACGGTTTCTTTAGTCAGTTTTTCCCTTGTCCCTTTATTTTTCATCTTTCTGCTTCTTGTGATGTGGTTCTTCGGACTATTACACAACAATGTCAGGTACTGCATTCATATTGGCTGACAGACTTCAAAACATCTGTGTCATCAATCTGTAAACGTATACTGTTATAAGCGGTAGTGCGACGTACAGTCTACGAGCAGTGCTATCCTAGCAGACTGCGAGCTGATACGAACCTAACATGCTAACGAATCGACTCTAACGCGTATCAGAACGTCAACCACCACAAGAATACCACTGACAAGCGAAGACAAGAAAAGAAGACAGACTGTTGATAGAGAGCTTTTTACTGTCTCATTACAGTTGAGAGCGATGCTGAATATATACATTTATAAACGACATTGACAACACTAAATCCGCATACAGGTTAAAATAGCTAACAACCAATGAGAGTTCAGCCTTGAGAGCAGAGGGAAGAGAAACTAGCAACGCTATGAAATTAGCCATGATAGGTTATTTTCAGGTTATCGGCAAAACACCAACCAAAAGCTATGCTAAATTAGAGTTATATGGCATTTGCCTCACCATATGCTTGGAAAATTTTAACTGTTGTAACATTTTTCTTTGAAAATTATATTAGAACCTAAGATTTCATGTTTTCATCTGGAAAAAATCTTTTATGCTCATTCATCTAGACGGTTAGTAACAATCCATCGCACATATGGGATAAACTACACCAAAATGTCGTCAGTCGGTCATTTGATCTATTCTATGCTTCAGTTGACTTATGCTTTGAAGAAACTGGAGCTGTTAGCCTTCCCTTTGTACTAGATATTATTCATGTAAGTGGTAAATGTTTTCTATAAAGAGATTTCTTGTAAGCTCTTATACAGTCTAAATTCTACTGCTTCAACCGATATATCTAGAAACATTCATAGCCAATCGGTGTTTTTATAAGTTTCTTTTTGTTAAAAGTAATATACCTATGTTACAACTAAAGAGTTTATTATTACAGGATCCAATTTTACTCAAACTTTTCAAGTTACCTATCTCTGAATATATAAGTGAACATTCGACTGCATTCATCTGGCTCGATTTGAATTATTTATCGCCTAACATTTCCTAACGTCAAGTGTAAACCATCCTGAAGTAGTTTTCGAGTTATTGAACTCCTTGGTATTCTGTGCCCTTCAGAACACGATGGAGTACATTTATTCCTTACTAAATGTTTTATGAAAATCCAGATGGTGTAGTCGACAAGTGTTTCTTGAGTATTTATAAAAACTTTTCGTTCATCGAATCGAACCCATGTAACCGCTATAGCAATTGCTAGTTTTAAGACGAAAATACCTGCACTCAGTACTAACTGATTAAGAATTGGATCTCTGAAAGGGTGGATCGGTCTCATTCAGATTATACACAATCTTTGCTTGATGAGTACCAGTAAGTACGAAACTCTATTCCCAAGTTTTTTGGCTGTTGTGTCGGTCATGTAACATCAAATGTATTACATCATTTAGTTTCGTGGCAATATCTCAGACTTGATGGATAAACGTTTGTCAACTTTCATTAGATGAGAAACTGTCTAGGGGTTTAATATTATTGCTTGTATTATCTCGTCATTGAGTAGACCGAATTGATCTGTCTCTATTGGGATACGTGCTCCTGCATGGATGCCTCGATATTGACTGCGTTTCAACTATATATTAATGATGGATTGGGGCTGGTAGTGGAATCCACCTGGATGCGCGTTTCGTCCTATTTGCTACCCGTCAGCTGTATACACCTGCCTCCCAGTGAGTGATGTTGTCCCCACTCGGACTCGAACTTGGAGCCGACTAGTATAGATCCATTGTTGTGGCTTGTATTATCCCGTCATTAATATCCATCACTAATACATAATTCAACCACAGACAATACCGAGGTATCCGCATTGGAGCTGATATGCGAATAGAGACCAATCATTTCAGTCCACTCAAAGACGGGATAATACTAGCAGCAAGATTACAACTACACCATCCAAAAAAGAAGAGGCTATTTGTTAATAACACCTCGTCAAAATTATATTGATTTTTCAGAGTTATTATTCATCATGGACCGAAATCAGTTGGATGAACATTGGAAACCTGGGAGCACTGGATAGCTGTTTCATCCTAGTGTAGGACTACTGAACAGTGCGCACTCATGACTCCACCGTCCAGGGATCGAACCTAGGGCCTTCGGGTTCACCTAATGTCATCGTTGAGTATTTATCCTCACGTCCACCAGGTTTGCTCCACCGGTTAGGACTTCAGGGATCACCCTTCGAAGCTAGTCATGAATATCAGTCTATGATGAATACCAACTTGAGACTTTTTCTCCTGGAAAGAGTCTTCCTAGCATGATTGAAACGTTGAGGAATAGTACAAAATGCTTGTTTATTTTGCTGTGGGCTACCAACAGGATCTATGACACGCATTTCATCCTTTTTGACACTCGTGGCAGCTGAATACATCTGGATCTATTCACAGATCCAAGACAGACCGATGAATTCAGTCCAGTCAACGGGAAATAACAGACATCAGTAAATAGGCTGTTTATTTTGTTTATTCACTATACAAGAGTAAGGTGTGATGAACGATCGTGTTTTCTATGCCTGAATGTTATCGACTAGTAGTAGAGAAGATAAAGATATTCAGTGTCAAATGAGTTAAAAGCTGCTTCCCGTTAGTTAAGATATGATGGCCTAAATCATAAGCCTATACGATCTGATGTGATTATAGTAATGCGCGTTCACAGCGCTCACCTTTTTCATTTATTTTTACAAAAGAATAAATTACGATTTCTCCTATGAAGTACCCTACAACCAAAATTACTTCACTCCTTAGATTTTAATTATGTAACTGAGGACATTACACCGGTCAGTGAGCACTAAATACTAATTATGTGTAGTACTGTTGTTGTAGGTTGTTAACTTATTGTCAGTTAATCATCCAACGATTCTTGATTGGTGTTCTAGTAACTATTGATTCCAAAGTCGTGTTCATCATGGAATGATATCGATTAGAGGACCATTGAAAGCCTGAGAGCACTTTCCACAGCTTTTTCGTCTTCAATAGTGCACACCTACCACCTTGACAAGGACTGAATCCAAGACGGTCAAGTTTCTCAGACAAGCACGTTAACCAATAAGCTCACTGGGTGAGCATTTGTCTTCACTGCTGAGGAGTCTCACACAAAGACGAAACAGTTGTGCAGTATTCGCAAGTTGTCCCCAAAAACCTCCAAATTGAATAACTATTGTTTTGTAGCAAACAATTATTCACAATAGTGTAATGAAATCACTTATTTGTTGGTGTATATTTCTTACTGATTATTCAATTTTCTAGTCCTATTGGGATTCACTTATCGCTAAATGGATGGTATGGAATAGTTGGATTGAAAAACAGTTGATTAAATCAGATTCTGAGCTAAGCTATAATCAAGCATTCGGCTTTATGTGGGTATTGAAATTTGCTCAGTTAACTGGTGAGTCAGTTGTTGGAAGCTGTGTTTATTGTAATTGTCTTTTGTTGCCGTTGTTATTCAAACTAAGATTGAAGAGTTCTCGCACTGCAGGCCAGCTTGTAAAATGCTATTTCTGTTTAAAATACCTGGAATAGACAATTAGTGAACTTATCACCCTGCGAACATGACCGTAGCACCTTCAGGACACTCGGTCGAAGCTGGTTACATATGGTGTTTTTAGAATTGATATCATAGCTTGGGACCCTTCGATAATTCATTAGAATACAGAGAAGAAGGGGTGGGGGGGGGGGTTAATGTATTATATTTTTAAGACTAACCTTCAGGTTTAGGCTGAAAAATGTTAGAGGTTAGCATCAGTTCATAAATTCTTTGACTGTCGATCTGAGTCGTTTGGGAGAATGTAGATCTCTTGTTGGGAATCTCTGTTACAATCGGGATTGGTGATTGGCACCTCTGAGTAAGATATGGTGAGGAATCGATCTCAGTTGTGTCAGCGCATCCCCGCCTTATCTTCATTTTAGTCATCAAACTATACTTCATTTTTTTTATCGCTTTGTCTTCTCTTTTTGCGAATTTCTTAGACTTTTATTTTCTTCCTTCCCTATTTTTCTTTTCTATCCATCATCTTGTTATCCTGTCTTGAAATGTTGATGTGAAGTTTGGAAGACTGAATCATTGAACAATATTTCTAGGTCGTATGTTGATATTGACTAAATGTCGGTGGTCTTTCACCTCTTGCGCCAAAATACAACGCACAACAGTAATGTGTCACTTCACTTAGTGGCCACATTACAAACTTCGTCGGTAGACTTCAGTCACTGTTCAGCACTAAAAACTAGACAAGCACGTAGGTGGTTATGCACTTATGACCAATTTGTGAATTTCGTTTTATTTCATGCCTATTTTGCATTCATGGAGAGATGGTGTAAGAAAGTCGAGATTTCTGCATTTCTTAGTGCCTCTGTCCTGTTGGTTGTTGTCATATTTAGCCGAACAGTGTTTCAGTTATCCGATAAGGTTAGAAACTATACGTCAATATAAAGGTGTTACAGTCAGTTATCTTTTTTGAGAGAGAGATTCTCACTAAAGACTTGTCATCTTTCTGTCTTTTCGTATTAGTTTGGTACTGGTGATGACCAATTATTGAGCTATTAGCATAACCTCAGCTTGGTATTCATCATGGACTGATATCAGTTGGAGAATTATTGGAAACATGGGAGCACTGGACAGCTTTTCGTCCTAGTATGGGACTTCTTGGCACCCATGACCCCACCAGGGACCGGACATAGAACCTTCAAGCTCTATAGCCACTGGGTTGGAATCTAATGGTCCATATTTCCTACTTCTGTCAGTTCACGATATACTGCAACCTCCATCTAATGTCGTCACTGAGTAATTGTCCTCATGTTCTCAACTTGGTTGGCCTCACTGTGATGAATACCAACCTGAAACTAACAAATCCCTACAAACCTCTAAATTGCATTAGCATAATCTTTAACTTCATACTGCGGTATAGCACACTAAACGTTTGTGATGATACCTCATGGTAGGATGGTCAATTTGCAAATGATTTACAGACTGCACGGGCTACGTTGACATTTCTGACAGCTGAGTGATTTCCAAACCCCCTTACTGTGATGTCAACAGGGTTTGCGTTGGAAATCATCTCGCTTACATCACAAGGTGTGATTTATGACAAAAAATAACAAAATAGACTACCGAAGAATTTGAGTGGTTGAAAAACACTCAGGCTGATCTGTTGCTTTCACCAGCATGATCAGGTCTAGTTAGCTGACTTACATAGACTAGTATGCCTTAAATAGAGACGATCAGTTCGTAAACATGGTCTGGGCAACTTGTAAATTTACAAATTGATCATTCTGTTTGGAGCACACCGGTCTATGTAAGTCAGTTGCCTAGCCAGATTCAGATGATCTTAACTAATTCAGCTCTGTAAGCTGAATTTGTCCGGCCACACTGCTCGGCCTCAAACGAGAGAAATGGTCATCCGGTGTTTAGATGACTCTAATCTGGTTGGCTGACAAAATCTACAGATCAGCCTGAGTTCTTTCTACCTAGACATGTTGCACAATAGTATATGCCAAGTGGTAATAGCGTTATGAAGCATCTCATCGTTTTTAGCTTATATTGTTTGTATATATAGGTGTGTGTGTGCGTCCTGTCTATCAGTTTTTGATTGATTATTGAATGGATTTTGAAAAGATTCGGCTCTTATTTTTCGACACACGACCGTCGGTCATTTGCCTAGTGATATCTGTGAGATGTATTCTACCCGATAAAATAATATTCACTGTAGGTGGTTATACCTTCTTCCTTCATATGGACACTAAATTTATGGCTTGTGTAAAAGAATCATCTTCAAAGGAAAATTGCTTATTCCCATCCTGCTTGCCTGGATACCAATGCTTTCCATTTAAATATTTTTTCTTAACTTTCATAGGTGATTTAAGTTCACGTTCTGACGCCTTTGTCGAGTATGTGATGTCGAAATGTGCGAATTGGTTGTCGCAGATTTGTAATCACGCTGATAGGTGGGTTTCTTTTTCTGTGTATGTTTGTTTGTTTGTCGTTATTTTCAATAATGGAGTAGTCTTATAGTCATATGTATTCGCATGGAACACAAGTGATTTCATGATAACATTACTTTTTGATCCTATTCATCTTCTTTTATCATGTCAAGACTGAATGAATACACTTGATTCAGTCCTAAATCGGAAGATTCATTGTGCTATACTGTTATGACTCGAAAACTGCCGTGCCTCTATCACTGCACGGATATCGAGTGTCAACCACCAACGTTCAACAAATTCCTAGTTGATTTCCGACCCGACTACTCAATGCAGAAGACACGATGGACGTGTGGAAAGACCGAAGGCCAAAACAAAGGAAAATACATCTAATATACAGATAGTTCACTGTTTAAAATAATCCTATTGATTGGCTGATCCACCATCTGTCTGTTTAACTATAGAAGTGATGAAGTACATTTTGATTGGTCCATTTCCAGAATAGTTATTTCTCTCTACCCCCATATCATCTCCCTCTTCGAAAGGACGTTATTTAGGGTCAACTTGGACCTGACTGGCCTTTTCTTTCATCGGTCTGACCGACGCAGAGGGAGTTTCACCTTCTTTACTGGGAGATCAGTAGTCTTCTTGTTATTCTTTTGGCAGACAGGTACATGAGCATGAAAATCGGCTATCAAGCTGAGAGATTTACCTATCGATCGAGGAAGAGATCTGCGGTGGTATCTGGATGGTGACCTTTATGCACATCGTTGTGTATGTTGGCGGCATCCATGTTGTTTATGTGGACAAAATTTGACGAAATGCCATGCTCCATAATGACGACAAGGAGATAGGAGTGTCTTCTTCGAAGGTTTATTGATATCTGATGAGTTATTTGGCCAATGAACAGGCGAGTTAAAGCCGGAGGGTGATACAGAGGAATGAGATATATGGCTATCTGTTAAGTACTTCGAAATCACCCTGGCATCCGAACTGGGCTAAACTTCCATCAAGCTGCAAGTTGCTCAGTCGTTGATATTCTGCAGACATATCATTCAGTATCTGAACTGTAGCATCGAAAGTGCGATCACATGAGTTCCGCGGCGAAATCATGTTAAAGTACTAGTCGAGCTCAGGTAGACCAAGCTTTTAAGTAGGAGATGTACTTTCCAGGAATCATCTTGGTCAGAGAAATCCACTTTGAAGTGATATTCGTAAAGCCTGAACCAACTATTGAAAGTCTCATTGGCATTAGGATCGTAGTGAAATTTTGTCATGCTACTAGCGATACCGTGAACTGAAGGAGCTATTAAAACCATTGTAGTAGGTGATGATTCAGTACTAGAAATTTTAGATTGCGTAAGAGTCTCGATAATCCTCATTTGTTGTTTCAGTAAATTTTTCAACTTTGAAGAATCCATTTCCAAATCTCTCATCGTCGTTGCCAGCTGTTTATGACTTGAAAACCGCTATATTCGCTAACGTTGTTCTTCAATTTTTGTAGTGTGAACAATGTAACCAAAGGTAATTGACATGAAGTCTTGTGTTCCACGAGTTGAATAGTTTAGTCGTCAAGTTTACACTATAATTCTAGACGACGTTGTCAGTACAGAAAAAAGTGAACTATAAGAAATTCTCCACAAGTGACTCAATTGCTTTTCGTGATGGTCTTGGATATGATTACTTGTTTCTGTTAAAATCTTGTCATTGTCACCATATGTATTTCAGCTAACTATTCTGTTGACATGATCTCTGAACTTCCTGTTATTCCTTATATTTCTTACTCTTTGATAGATTGAGTCAATATCGATGTGCCTGTTGATCACTGACAGACCTGAGTACCACACTTTTAAAAATTCTCTGACATTCCTTGTTTTTTCTCTACCCAAGATTACCATATTTTTCCAGCTGGGGGCATATTCACAATGATCTATATACAGTGATATGAGTTAGGATGTATCGTAGCACTTCACTACTGTAGTTGGTGTTCATATAGACGAACAAGAGAGAACGCTCACTCAATGTACTGTTTTTCTAAGTTGCCACAGTTGTTTTTGTACAAAACAATGGACTCGGTATTCCTTATTATTGTCTTTTATTCTTGTATAACAGGAGTAACGACATCTGTAGATTTGTGAACAACAATAATCTGACAAGCTTTAAACAGTCTATTTAAGATTTCCAAGATATTCTTATGCATAGTATAAGAATCTGAATGGTAGTTTCCATAGAAGATTTAATAGGTTGACTACAGACTTGACAAACATCTTTTAACCAAAATTGCATAGATATCTAGTCATCGCAATGCGTAGCTATTCCCTATAAACTTTATGTACTACCACATGTCTTCACTCTTTTGTACAGAGTTGGTACACAACTGATGTTGTTCTTGGTCGAAATATGCATACAGTCGATTATATAACACTGTAACAGAGACAACCAATGTCAGAGAAAGTTGCTGAGCCACTTGTGGTTCAGCTCACTTCTTTCTCCACGCCCTGCTGATAATCCTGTATAAACTGATATTGCAAGCCGGATAATGTAGCTATCCAGTTCCGAAAATAAAACGTGATCGAAGTCATTCTTCTGAACTGCAAATATTTTCCACCATTGAAAAAGCTTTGCTTATTTCAAAGTGTTTATTTGTCTTTTATTTGGGACGGGGGCAGATCTTGTCATCAACAGCATAGGACCAGACACTTTTTTATTTGTTTTGATAGTGTTTTTTTCTCTGAGCTGGGTGGCTTAATCACTGAGCTATCATTGTCAGTCTATACAACATCATCAACACATCCTTAGAAAGAAGTGAGATCTAAGCTTTTCTCCGCAATTTATTCAGTAGCTTGTCCTGATGATCTTGTATATGATTGGTGGTTTCTGCCAAGGTCTTGTCACTGCCTCCTTACTTCGTTTTGACTGGTTGTCCTGATGACCTGGAATTTGACCTTGCAGTTTTTTATTGGTTGATAGACTGCTTCAGTGTCAATATATCTGTTGATTGCTGACTGATCTGAATACCAAACTTCTAAAAATTCTTTGTATTGTCTCTCTCCAATCAGGATCTCCACATTTTCTCAGTCAAATCCATGTCCACAGTTGTCCGTATACATTAATATGAGCGACGATATGTCATGACACTTCATTGCTAGTAGTTGTTCATGTATACGGATACGAAAAAGGTGACCACTTTGTTTCTATAGTTTATTTTGTATATAGTGTTTAGTTTGTCTGCCTTTGCTGTTGCATTTTTTGGCCTGCATAACAGAGAGTGAAGAGATTTTTTGGGCTTATGAGATACAGTGATTCCAAAAGGCTTCAATAATCTAGTCGTGGTCTGAGAGATGTTCTTCATGTAGGGTAGGACAATTCGTTTGTTAGTTTCCGAGGTGAACTTCTTGGTTGATGACGAATTCTGTAAACATCTTTTGATCAAGTTCCATCAATAGGCGTTCTTCTGGAAAACAGTCATAAAATAGTTTTTTTTCTACAAGATTGGCTGTACTGCAATGTATCTTCGCTTTTTTGAACAATTTTCTTCATCCACCTGATTTTGTATGCTGTTGTGCTGTTGCTATTGTAATTGACGTTTTGATCCGTCTGAGTTGGTTTTCTCCATACTTCAGTTTCTGATTTCGCTAAATCTGTTCTGGTAATCAGAACATCTAAAAATGCAAGTTTGTCATTTGATTCTCTTTCAGTTGCTAAGTGGATGCCTTCGAAAATGTTATTGATTAATTTGTAAACTTTTTTCAGTTCGTTTGTTTCAATGATGAGAGACGTGTCATCTACATACTGGACCCAAAAGTTTGATTTTATTGACGGAAATATCGGCGTCTAATCCCTGCATAACTGTTCCTGCAATTAGTCCTGATATAGGTGATCCCATTGGTGTTTTCTTCATCTATCTGTAGAGTTTGCCATTGAATCGACAATATATTCGTAAGGCATAAATCAGTTTATTCCGTTAAACTTGAACATTGCAGTTATGTGTGTTCTGAGAGGTGTGTATCATTGTTAAGGAGAGTAGTCATTATCTTCGTAGCCAGTTTCGGTCCAATTTTTGTGTATAGAGCTGTACCATACAAAGACACCACCAGTTCGTCGTCGTCAACATGAATATGCTTGGTCTTTTCTAAAAATTGTGCAGAAGAGTTTAGACGCTACAAAATGATTTTTAGTTTTCTGAAGATTTTTTCTGAAAGATTGTATGTCGGAGTTCCTGGAAGTGAAACATTTGGTCGTAGTGAGATGTTTGGTTTGTGTATTTTCGGTCTACCATAGAAACGTGGAGAACAAGTCCATTGGATTTTATTCACCACTGTTCTTATTCTGTAATTTGTCTCACTTTGAGAAGTTTGTTCAAGATCTCAGTGATGTGAGAGTCAAACCTTTGAATGGGATGTACCTCATTTGGTTGATATACGTTTCGGTCCATGAGTAAGTCTTGCACCTTTTTGATGTAGTCGTCTTTATGCATGACTACTGTGGTGCACGCTTTGTCAGATGTAATTGTGACGATGTTGTTTATGATCAGTTTCTAAAGAGGCCTTTGTTCCTCAATGGTTAGCTGAGTACTGTTTTGCTCCCTCCTGCTCATGGATATGATTTCAGGGTTTAGTTCTGAAGTCTTAAGTGATGGCTCTTAGGATGCAAAGAATTCTGATCCTAAAGCGTCTCCTGTATTGTAAATTAATTCTTTCTAAAGAAGTTCCTCAGATTTGGTCAGAAGCTTGATGTTCAAATGAGTTGGCGATCAACAGACATGTTAACATTGACCCAATCTATCAATCAATAAGAAACTACAAGAAGATTAAATTTTAGGTCATTCGGACAACCAATCACACATAGAGACAATGACAAGACCTTGACAGAAACAACCAATCACATACAAGGCTATCAGGACAAGCTACTAAATAAATTGCTGTTGTCTAAAATGATAGTGAAGGCTCCACGATGAAACCATCCAGCTCACAGAACGTAACACCATGAAATTTATCCTCTTGAGCTATAAATTCTCCATTTATTCATACCTACCACAGTTTCACTTAGTCACCTTCATGTTTTTCCATATTTTTAACGATATTTTGTTTGTGGTAACCAAAGAAGACTTTTTTATTAACTCTGTGTCCCGTACTGGGACGAAACCGCTGTCGAGTGCTCCCAGGTTTTCAATGGTTCTGCAACAGATATCAGTTTAAAGATGAATAACGCTTTGAAAGCAACCAATTCTCACTAACGTCTAAGCTGAATTACAGTTAGGGTAAAAGTGTAAGAGTTAGGCGCTGCGGTAGAATCCAATCCCATATTAGATTTGTTTATTTGATTAATAACACACAGTAATACAGTATTATTTACTTGATGACGTTTGGAAAAAAATGTGTCATTGCTCATAATTATATCAGTGTAATCATACTTCTTTCGATATCTGAGCTTTATAGTCCTGTCTCCCGATATTCTTTACTTTTATTGATAGTAAAATTTTCCATATACCTAGTATAGGTGTTGCGTTATTTCTATTATGTGTTGGGTGTTGGCTGTTTCGACGAACGAAGCTCCAGTAATCAGTCCCTTTCTCTCTCGATTTAATAATATTAGACTTAATTAAAGTGGTTTTATCCCACCCATCCTATTGTGTGGTTGTGTGTTAGTGCATGAATTCCTATAGTCGAGTTTTCTTCAAGATTATTGATCTTTGTCGGGTCAGTTATGTCATTCTATATTTAGCTGAGTTTCTACGTTCCGTTTATCTGACTGACCTGGATCGGCCAGTTTGACCGTACTCATAGTCATTACATGGAATTTGATAGATTAGATTATTTTGTTTAATTGATTCTGTCGGATCCTTAAGCCAGCTGACAAAGCTTATCTTTGAGTTAGTTTGCAGGTTTAAATGTCACTCTAATTCTAGCTTTGTTGAGGATCTTATGTTCTGGAGATTAGGAATATAGATAACATAAAGAGCTATCTTGTTTTGTTGCTTCCTTATCACTTGATGTTAGCTGAAATGGGTGTGACCACACCAGGATGTGATATCAGTCCGTGAGTCGTTTCACTTTTGTCTGAACCGTGTAGATTATCAGGATCGGGTTAGAGACTCGTGATGATATGCCTAAAAACTCATCTCAATGACGCCCGTACATTCACCCTTTTTCGAGGTTTTGAATATTTTTATGAAGTTTCGTTTATTTATTCACTTTCATCATACATATCTTTCAACTTTCTGTCTAGCCTTTCTCAACAAGCTGTTGTAAAGTGTGGCAAAATGAACCAAAGCACTTCTCTGCCAAATTGTAATTTGTACTGCGTGATGATTGAACGTAAAATTAAAATCTGGACCGCGGCAGGATTCGAACCAGCGACCACCGGGTTTCCGTCCCGAAACTCTACCAACTGAGGTATGAGGTCCGACTGCTGACCGGAATTTTATTTCACTCCAATCACCAAGGGTTTTGCCCGACTACCATGTGAATTCGTGACGTGTTACTGACACTTGATCGTACTCACACTGGTTGTCAAGTCAGGGCTTATCATCCGAGTCTAAATATAACCAAATTAGAACTAGAATGGGAGCAACATATTGATTATCATTTCGACTATTTGAGATAGTTGTGGTTTGGCAGACTAGTATTTATAGTGGGTGGTTATTGAAGGTGGGATGAAGATTTGGTTCGAATCCGACCGTGGTCCAGACTTTTGTTTCACCTTCAATAAGCACTCAGTATAAAAATGATTTGTCACTGCTTTCCGAAGTTTTGAAAAACTACCTATACTTTATTCAATTAATAGTATCATCTAGCATAATTATGATGGGTTTTTTTATCATTAACAATTTGACACTGTGGCTTTGTTGTGTTTGCAGAAGAGAACAAGGAGAAAAGCATATGTAAGTTTGATGGTGCAGATCTATTCAGGCAGTTGGAAAATCTGCAGTTCAAACCAACTATCCCAGGAATATATATATATATATATATATATATATATATATATATATATATATATATATATATATATATATATATATATATACTGCACTGATATGCGCCTAAGAGCCTATTCCCAGCTATCATAAAGTTTTTCATTCATGTTATTGTTCGCTTGCGAAGCAATAGGTTGAAAACAATTTAAAAGTCCATAAAAGTACATGATACTACGGTTTGAGGATATATTTGAGTGACTAAAGCAATTACGAAGTGAGTATTTTAGTTCAGCATATTCGATGGAAAACATTTTCGTCGCAAAAACTGAATTATCAGATGAAAGTGTTTTTCTTCAAAACTATGGCGTTAGACAGTATAGTGAAGATATGTAATTGACAAATATGGCTGTACAACTGTTTAGTATATCGACCATCGCATTCGTTTGCGCAAGTTTGACAGAATAACAAAGAAACCCACTGACTGTAAAATATAATTCCATTATACTTTAACTGTTCATGTTAAACTTCAGTTGTGTTTACTCGTTTCATATTGTTTATGAATAAGAAGGCAAGTGTTCTTCGCGCTCATTTCAAACTAATCCAGTCGACATAAATGATTCAATGTTCCAAGAGTATAAAGGATAGAACAGCTGTTATTCTTTCTTGTACTCTCATTGTACTTCTAGAGTTTACTTTTTCTTACGGGAACCTCTTAGGGACTGATCTAGCTTATGGGATATCGCTCAATAGGTTCAGAGTACGATTATGGTATTCCCTCCCAGTGCCATTGATTGATATTGAAGCATTTTGCTGAAGATGTACAACTTCTAATCCGTAGTATCTCAAGAACCTTAACCAGATAGGAAATTCTATAGTTGTGGAGTTAGGGGGACAACAAACGAAAATCAGCGTAAAAGAAGCGACTGTTTAACGGCTAATAGGTGACGTAATTACATGAAAAACTTGGAAATCGTTAAGTGATCAATATTCAGTAAGTAATTAATGAAGAAATGATACAATCAATAGAAAAAGGAAGACTTTTACATACATATGTAAAAAACTATATACATTTGCCAAGATAAAGACAGGTTAGTTACAGTCTCCTTCTGAGTACATAGGTCAGGTTGAAAATTTTGATGGAGAGAGCTTCAGCAAACCGTAATCAACACGACGTTTTTTGTTTGTTGATTATCCTGAAGGATTGAGAATCATTTACTTGATGTGCTGTTCCCATCAGATGCTTAGTGATTGCGATGGTGAAGACTTTACTACCTTTTATACACGGATTTGTCGGAATATGCTTATAAAACCAAGTAGACGACCTTCTTTCAGTCCGTCCTATGTACAGGCACATGGGAATTGATATACACAGTTGGAGGTGATGTGAGCTGGGTATTTGTCTACATTCGACTGTGTTTTTGAGCATGCGGTATTGCAAACTGAGATCAGTCTGCTAGCACAGAAGCTTGTTCTCAGTGCCGCATTTATTCTTCTATCTATTCTTTCAGGAGTTTTATCACCTTTGTATGCTTGACGAAGGAAAACAGGCTTCTCAACATTTAGGTGTTTGTGTCTCTCGATAAATTCTTTTCCATGCTTCATGATGAATTTCATTGGATATATATTCTCTATAAGAGTCTTCTCAACTATTCCGAATTCTTCTTGTTTATCTTTAGAGCACAGCCTTTTTATCTTAGTGAATAGCATCCTGGCTATACCACTCTGAAGCTATTGTAGTGAAGGCACTGACCAGTCCATGTGTCTTTCCTGTGGACAGTTTTCTCAGCTGTATCATCATATCCTCGTCTTATACTGAGACCCAAAAAATTGAATCTGTCCTCATTTTTGCATTCCGTTGTAAAATTCATATTTGGATGAGCTTAATTGAATCTGTCGGACAGTTTTGATGCACCATTCATATTATCACAAACAATGAAGGTGTCATTGATATACCTTCGGTAATATGTCGTTTCCTTGATCGTAGAGTTCAGACATGTTTGTTCGAAGTGAGTTATGAGTCACATCAGCTAGGAAAGATCCTAGTGGTAAACCCATAGCCACTCCAACAGTTTGCCAGTCTACTCAGTTCTTGAGAGAATTAGAATGTATCCTTCAAGTCGTGATTTATGAATCTTTTCCTGATGAGATACGTTTTCTTTACCAACCAACTGGCCAGTTTGTGACAAAGCGAATTTATCATAGACAAAAATAGATTTTTGAAGCGCGGTAAACGAAGGGTCATTGTGAAGGTCTTGACTTAAGTTTATTATAAGTTGTCCCATTAGTCAAATGCTTCTTCATGACTTCCATTGTTAATACCAATACTTTATTTCAATTGTAAGTTGTTTGCAGCCGATGAAACGCCGTGAAATAAAATGAGCTCATTTTACTCTGTAAACGTCTTTCTTCAAAAACTTGTTTTCCATTCATACAGCTTCTTTGAATGTGTGGGGTTAGCATTAAATTATTTGACAACAGTTACACAGTGAATTCAAGCAGTGGTTTTTTCTCTTGCTTTTACCTTCTCTTTTTCTTGATGTCAGTAGTATTTTTAGCAAAGAAAATCATACTGTGACTTCTAGTAAGGATAAGAAAACTGACAGTCACCTTTCTATACCAAACATATTTAAATTAACTTTACATCAGTTAGTGCTTAAACAATCAACCGAATGTCAACAGGCAATTCATATTCTCGCTTATCCGCCTAACTTAACATCATCATCGTCACCATCATCAAATTCAACGGAATCCATAAGTAAATCCAAATCATCTGAAGTGATGAATACAACAATGAAATCACGCAATAATTTAAATGGATTGCATAAATCCAGTTCTATGCTGTGCCGTGCAACTGTTGGCATTGTACGTCAAGTCACCTTAGCTCCAATACGTTATTACTTGAAAACTGTACCCAATTTAAGTGTTTGGTTCACTTATCCAAGTTGTGGGGAATCTTGTTTACCAGATTTGGCTTATTTACCACAGGATTATATTACACAGGTTAGTTTCATACTGATAACTATTATCATTTCAATATCTTCGGAGTTGTTTAGATCCTGTTCTAACAGATTTTGTTGTGCAGTTGTGGTTGATCATTGAAGATATTCATAATATTGATTTCGGCGACTAGCAGAGTAACCTAGGACGCGCGTTTCGGTCTATTTAAGACTTTTCAGCTGGATGAACCTGTACTCCAGTGAGTGATATTGTTCCCACCGAGGCTCAAACCCAGTACCCTTCGCTTCAATCGCCAAACGAGTTATCCACTAACCCACTGGTACACGACAGCTACCTCTTGTGCAACGGGTGTCAACTCTTGCAATTATGCTTGTAATTTCCGGTTGCTATATAGGGCCAAATCGCTCAATATAACGTCATGAATATCCGGCAGTATCGAGGCATCCGCCAGGAGCCTATCTACCAACAGAGGTCGAGCAATTCGGCTCTGTATATCAACGGGTATAGCAACAAATATCATTACAGTAAGACAATCATTGTTTGACCAGTGTATGATATCCTCAAACCTCACTCCACCTACTATAGTCTAGTAACCAAGTCGTATCAGCAGCCTTGATATTCTTAAATCACATATGCTTCATTGCCTTCTAGTACATAAATCTACATGGACTTATTGAATTATACTACCTACTTTTAATATGGTGGAGAATATTTTTAGCTCAGGTGGATGATCTTGGTTGTGTCATCTTCTCTGAGCTGGATGGTTTAACCATGGAGCTTTCATTGTCATTCTTTATTAAAGCATACTCTTATAATGATTAAATCAGACTTGAATCTCAACTTCTTCTAGGATATTTGTAACAATTGTAGTCTGAATGTTTATAGTTATTCTTTGGCTTTTCAAAAAATATTAAAGCAGCATAATCATGAAAATTATCAAAACAAGCATCATCTAAAGAAACTGCTTGAATATCATTTTCTGAATTGACAAACCGTTGGCAACTCTTTGGTCTAAGATCTTTCCCAATGGGTTCGTAAAAGTGGATGAAAGCCCATTTTTCTGTCTTCCCAATTTACTTGCTTTGACAAGTACACGCCAATTTATAATGCAGTTGGAGACGAAGTAAGACCAGTACTTATCCACGTTCGATTGGCATAAAGCATAAGCGGTGCTGTACACAAGAATCAGTTTAGCCGCTAAATAGGTTCAACTAAGGGCAATCTATTCTTAAACGTCATATCTGTTAACAGCCAACCAAGTGAAAACTGAATTCTCAACTCCAGTCATACTCATCTGTGTCATCTTTCATATTTATAGATAAGTTGTTAGGATATGCATTTTCACAAAGACACTCTTCGATTAGAGTCTATGCGTCATCTGATTTGCCTTCAGAACACAGATATCTTGCACCAGTAAACATTGAGCAAACCAACACTCATTTGTGTTTCAGTGACCAAATTCTGTTGTAATCTAGACACTCCCCGTTTAAGTATCCTTGCGATAAATCTAAACTAGAAGGACTGTTTTCCTGTTCACCAATATGCGGACTAATGCAGAGATTCTGGTCATTCTAACGATAAACCGGAAATTTAGATTCTTTACGTCGACGACATTTTTGTAATTATCAACTTCAAGAAGGAACGCCTTTCAACAGAACACCTATCAAGATAATTGCCTAAACCTACAGAAGAAATCACTTTGCTACATATCAAATATTTCTTAGAATCCGTCATTCGTTATCAGCGTGGTGCACAAACCACCCAAATCCATGCAGGAAATGTTATGCAAGCTGAAGGATTTATTACTCAGAGAAGGCAACACGAATTTAATTTAAAAATCTAGTTGCAAGGACTATCAACATTACTGTATTAGCCAATCCAGTCACTGAGTAGCTCAAAGAATTTATGAGCGGTATCTTAAAATCAAACGATATGATCTGTTATCATTGCTATTGGTGCATGTAGTTGAACGCAACGGCAAGACCGACTAGAAAAATATGGAAATATTACAAGAAGCAAGCTGGACTATCGAGAAGGGGTTAGCCAACTGGAAGTGAATCAAACAAATGAAAAATCAGACATCAGATCAACAGTATAAGTCAACTGATAAATGGAATTTAGAAATCAACCTCTGATAAAAACGGGAAGGAAAAATCATGCCTATCCACAACCGGATAATGCTCAAGGTTGGCCAATATCTGTGAAAACATTCATGCTACTCCGAAATGCTCGACTTATTTATGAAATAAATACTGATCAAGTCGCCCAGTCTTGTAATGAAACGTCGAAGGAAAAGCCTCGGAAATCAAAGAACACCAAACACCTACCACTCTCATCCTGAGCTGCAGATATTTCACGGTGGAAAAATTTTTGTTTTAATAGATAAGCTATATAGATAGTCAAGGCAAAGAAAGAGGCTGTACGGCTTTCTTCTGAACGCAGACTCGGCTTGTTCAGGTGGATTCCGGTGGCTTCTGCTGTATGCAAAACATGACATCGTAGAGCATGAGTGAGATTAGAAGGAATTTGATTAATGACTTTAAAGGTGTTGTGAATATTAACTCGGTGACATATGTCAGCCTATCGATCTGGTTTGGAGTTTATTTAATCATGTAGGTTGATGCTGGGCGTTTTGTCGATGGAATTGCCTAACTGTACGTTCAGTGTAACTAGCTCCACAGAAGTAGTTGCACTGTTAAATGCACATAGAGGAGGAGAGTCAGATAGTCTGTCTTTGGTTCGTGTGGTCGTCATTGGCTTACTGTAGAATACACGACATAACTTTGCTGCATTAAATGATCACCTTATGGCTTTCCTTAGGTGCTATGTCACAATTTCCCTGATGATATCACCTCAAAATTCTAGCCTTAGGAACAACGGTTTCTCGGGAACTGTTGGTTCTCTGGCTTTCATATTAGATGTGTCTATATATATTTAGCTAGAAACTCTTCTGGATATTCATTACTACTGATAATTTGAATTTCTTCATCGAAAGTATCATCTGAACAGATAAGTCTTGCCCTGTGAACCAAAAATTTGACTAGATTTCGTTTATATTGCATGGGGATGAAACTCAAGAAATGAATGTATTGACCTGAAGTCGTCGGTTTCTGATATACACTTCTTTTTACGCTGCCATCCCTCTTCCTTGTCAACCGGATATCTAAGAAGGTGATGCTGTCGTCACCTTCTCTCAATGGTGACGGTTATCGCTGGATGGACACTATTAAGTTTATCCAGGATCATCCTTGCTTCGTTCTCGTTATTCACAGTGTAGAATGTATCGTCTACATAACGGTAATAAAATCCTAACCCGCTTATCATGCTTTTCAGAGGGCCATTTTCTACCTCTTTCCAGGTAAATGTTGTAATTTCTCTTTGTCAGCTGGCTACATATGAAGTCTACTTTTTCTATCAGAGAGACATTCGTGAATTAGGATGATACATGTAAGGATGTCACAGACTTATTATTCACATTCAAAGCTCTTATCTTCTCAATAAAGTGAAAGGTATCTTTGACGCCGTGCTTTACAACTTCCTTATGCAATGGTTGCAAGAGTTGTACTAGACATTTCGCTGTCGCGTGATATGGAGAGTTTGACATGTCAAGAATTGGTCAGAGTGGTAATCCGTTTTTATGTACTTCTGTTAAACTGTATACTGTACCGGTAGGTCTTAGCGTTTCATACACACTTTGTGAAATGAAATCTTGCTGTTTCAGCTTTTTTAAGGATTTCGGTAATTGCCTCTTAGTTTCCTCTGTCATATCAGCATTGATTGATATTTTCTGAAATTTACTATGAACACTAAGAAGGTTGTTCATTTTGTCCAGGTATTCCGCTTTGTTCATAATAACCATCCCTGAGTCTTTATCGGGCTTAGTGATCAATAGATTCTCGTTCATTCGGAGTTTATGTATGGCTTCTTTATGTTTTCGAGTCAAGATGCCTCTAGCATTCTGCTTTATGTTCATATATTTATAGAAACAGTCAACCAGGTTAGAGTTGAGTCTTTTCACCTCCTCACTTGAATAAGGTGATAAGTCTTCGGTCTAGGAGTACAAGTTTTCAAGCTGGACTTGAGTATCTATTCTACTAAGTGTAATAAGACTATCACAAAACTTAATATAGTGCTGCCATATCAAGATCAACATTGGGAAAATTATGGACATACTGACCAGAATTTGGAGGAAATCTCATTTGTGGAGTTCGGTTCTCCACACTTTGACTAAGGTGAATTCGTTTCATCTCCTTTCTTTTGCTGACAACTTGGTTCACATATTCCAAGAATGGTTGTTTCTGGTGGTTCGGGAGATCTTCAACAGCATGGAATCTTTCTGCAACATTTTTCACCAACTCTGTTGTGCATGATTTCGGTGAATCAATCTGATTAAGAGCATGTCATTTGAGCGTCCTTCCGTTTGATCGAAAAGCCTACTGGAAATCTCTACTTCGTAACACAATTCGATCGCATTGCTTGTTTTTACTAAATGTCTATGTAGGAATATTTGGTTGTGATATACGACCGTCTACCATATATTCTACAACTTATAGTGCAGTTGGAAACTTTACCTCTATTTTCTGATTTACTGTAGAATAAGAACTAATTGATTTAAGCCTTAGTCTTTTCATTGAAAAGTTTTCTGCGGGAAGTATTTTCTACTATGATTGAGTTTTCATGGTTTTGATGTCCGATAACACCAACTTATTTTCACGACAAGAGTTTTGCATGGAACAGTTTTACTGATTGAATGAAACAATTGATTCTCAATACCTTTTTGATTTACTGTCGCTTATATAAGTATTATTTCGAGTTGATAATATTTAGCAATCCATATTGGAAATTCTTACTGTTCACCTAGCTTTATAGTGCTTATGTTTCATGCATGGTTTCACTTACATCACTTACTGTAGAAAAAGTACGCATTCTACATCCTTAAAAATATCAGAAATTGCTGTGAACGTTCACAACCAACCAGCTTTTAGTGGGGTTTTAAGAAAAATTGTCTACCGTCTCAAGTACTGTAGTTAGATAGCTTGTACCTCCGTACACGGCTAAGACTAAAAGTCGAAGACTTCATGGACTAGTGTGACGTCTTGGTCTGATCACGCTTACACATACTTGTTCTTCCAACCCACTTCATGTAACGAATGAGCAAGCATTTGGTCAGGAGACAGGTTGATTTCATCATCAAGATCAACATAAGACCAGACATTACTGCGTAACGGTCCAAGTTGTCACACTTGATATCAGCACATCAAGTAACAAGGCAATCAAATGGAACATGTAGAAGGAAAGAAAAATCTATGAGAAGTAGAAAGTTGTAAAAGAGAAGACAAAAGAATGAGAAGATGATGAGATTAATTATAGCAGTTAAGATGAGGATAATGTCTGTATACATCTACGCCACTGACACTGCTTCCGAGCCATATCACCAAGAGTCTCCAACCATTAGTTTGTCTGGTCCCGGGGACCCCAACCAGCTAGTCTGCGTCGCCTCACATGGCTCAAATGAACAGTCAAGGACTTCATGCATTGATGGCATGTTTTAGTCTGGTCGTCCTGAGCTATTTTCCAGCCTGGACCTACTTCGGCCAATATTATGTGACGAGGCAGACGGTGGCTAGGTATACGTAACACGTGTGCCGGCCATCTCACTCGTAGAAGGTTCACAACGGCATTAGCTGTCCTACCTCTCCTGCCTAAAACTCTACATCTGACTTCTGTGTTACTCACATGGTGACACCACGACATACTATGGCCTATACTTCGAAGGCAGAGGTGGTCAAACACCTCCAGCCTTCTCATGTCTTCTACCTTCAATGGCCATGTTTCACAGCCACAGAGTTGAACAGAGCGGACTGCGGCACAGTACACTCTTATCTTAATAGACAATTGGATATCTTGGTGACGCCACAGGTGGCGTGATTGATTTATAAATCTTTATCCACCGGATCAGCAATATGGAAGATGCTAAATTTTTGCCAGAGATGTGGAAGATCCTGTTAACACTGAAAACAGCAAGTAAATACAACGAAAAATCTAAGTTTCAAAAGTTGTGTTATTATTTTTTGATATGATGATGAACGAAAAATTCCGGTGGAAACATCGTCATCTAGTAAATAATATTGTCTCACTGTTTACTATATCAAATGAACTAATAATATAACACGAATCGACTGAAGCATTGCAATCTGATGCACTGGCTGAATGATAACGTGGTCACCACGAAACCTGACACCCTTTGGTTTGACTCCTCATGGGGTCGTGAGTGAGCAGTGCATAGGAGTCCCAGACGAGAATGCGATAGCTGCCCATTGCCCCCTGATGCTAAAATTTCCTATGGTTCAGCACAATTCTCAGTATAGTCTAGGTTGTATAATAGAATATCAGACAGACAGACAAAATCAACTTAGACCCTTGCACACAAGTTCATTACCTCAAGTTGCTACGCTTCCCAGTAGATACAAAGAACAAGTAGGTAAGAAAAAGACTCATATCAAAGTAGACAAAGTTATGTGAGAGAGATAATGGTTAGCCCAAACATTCAGTCTGTAGAATATCTCAAAGAGAGAATTCATCTGCGCCATTGTGACCGATTTTCAGCCATATCACCAAAAGTTCTCATTTCGGGGACCCCAACCAGGCAATCCATATCTCCCAATACGGCTCAGACCAATAGTCAGGGACTTTACTGAGTGGTGCTGCGTGTTGGTCTGGTCACGCTGAACCCTTTTCCAACATAATACAACTTTTCCGTAGCATGTGACGTTGACGTAGATGGTGGCTTGGAATGCGTAATACATTTCCAAGCTATCCCAGCCGATGAACCTTCATAGACTCATTAATTGACTTGCCTGTCTTCCCTGGTACCTTTCCTCTAACTTCTACATTGCTCACACAGTGATATATCTAGATTCTTTTTCGATTCTAATAATTTCATATGAAGCCGTCATCATCAGCTCCTTGAAGGATATTTCTGCAAATAGACACCATTGTCCCATTATTTTTACTTTCTTTTCAATTGTGTTCATTTTATTGTATATGTATTTGCTTGTAAAGTTGTGGCTCATTGATCTTTTTGGAGTTGACTTTAAACCAATGGGTCACGGTTTTGAACACTACTGCACCTACCGAAGCTTGGGGTGCCAGTTAGTATCATTAGCCTCCATACAATAGGTGTCGCATTGCTGGGTGGATTTCGTTTTCTGTTGTCTCATTTCCGTGGTATATTAGCTTAATTATCATTGAAACTGTTTGAGGTAGTTGGAGTTCAGCAGACTAGGGCTATTAATACTGTCTGATGATTGAAGGTGAAATGAAGTTCTTGATTATGGCAGCGTTGGAACCGGTCACATCATCTTCAGTCATTATCCAAGATCAACTTATGTAATCCTGGTTATTTTTATAGCTTAATTTTATTATTCTGTCACATTTTATCTACAGATTGGCCAATATCTGTTTATGTTACCAGCTCAGTTGGAACCTTATGCATCAATCGATTCTACTCTTGATACAACCACTGAAGAAAGTCCGATCGATGATTATTCTAGCTCACCATTGTCGTTATCCGGTTTAACTCATTGCCTTCATTTAGGTGACTCCGATATCAACTTCACGATACCTTCGCATCGATCAAGTGAAAGCCAACACCAACAAGAAGGTAACGGGACAATAATGACAACAATAACTTCAACATTACCTCGTAGACGTCAGTTGAGTAGCAATTTTAGTCAAATGAAATCTGTCATAGACGATGGTAAAACACCAAGTGAATCATCTGTATACTGTTGGTTAGAAAATTTGATTTCTGTTAATGTTTGCGATTTAATTCTTAACACAATACTACAAATTGGTTTAAATAAGTCTACGGTAAAACCGTTGACAACAGCTGCAACTATGAAATCTGATCATGATGAAAGTGATGATACTGATGATCAACCTTTACTTACTAAACATGGTTTAAAACAATTGGATGTGGATTTAGGTAATGATCTAAAAATATGTATCAGCTTAGTAATATGAATATTTTGTAAGGTCTGATTTGTGTTACTATTGCCTAATAATTGACCAGCCTTACATAAATTATTGTACACCAGTACCCAACTAATCAGTACCTTACTTACGTGTAAGTACCTAATACAAAAGACAAACTAGAAAATATGTTAGGCGGTAAAAAGTACTCAGACAAACAGTTTACTTCAATCTGGAGGTTTGCGTAGGTTCATTAATCCCCGTCGCACCAGGGATCTAGCCAAGAACTCTCAGCTTCCACGGCCAGCGTTTTACTATTGAGCCATTGGGTCGGAATCTAATGGTCCCTATTTCCTATTTCTGTCAGTACAGGATATAGTGAGACCTAAAGGCCCTGGGTTCTATCCCTGGCGGGGTCATGGGCGTGCACTGCTGAGGAATCCCATACTAGGACGAAACAGCTGTTCAGTGCTCCTAGGTCCCCAGTGTTCCTTCAACTGATGCCAGTCCATGATGAATGCCAACCTGAAAACAGGTTATTTGTTGGTCAGAGAATAAGATGTTAGATTAGGAGAAAATGTCAACCTATCTGTCTGTTAATTGCTAAGCTAGGGACTCTGTACAAGTTGCTGCCGGCCAGAACGAAGAAAACGCAAAAATGGCTAATTTCAACGTACGGATGCCGATACACTAAAACAAGCTTAGAGAAATGAAGTTACTCGTCGGCGGTGTGAAAGGTTGTTCAGCTATTATTTAAATATTTTTATTGTTTATTTATTGATTCAAAGCCCAGCTGTATTTTGGTGCCAAAATGGTGCACTATATTTTATCCCCCTCTTAGAAGGCTGTTTGGACACCGACAACCTTCGACTCTAGAAGACAACTGCGAGGCGAAGACATAACACCTTTCCATATTGCTGATGGAGTAGGTGACGTGCGTGTCTCAGATGCTAGTGCAACTATGCACGCCTATGAAGTAAGAGAACTTTGCGTCAGGATGCAACCCTTCTCTCAGTGAAGGTAGACGACCCGAAACCCCCTGTCTACATTTTTTTAGGGAACCTTAAGCTACAGGGGGAAATGTAAAAGCAGGAATCGGTACAACAAACCGGTGAACGACCCAATCAGTATCACCCTATATCCATCCAACTTGTATCAAATACTGCAGGTTCCTACTGGTCTGAAATGAAGAAAAACGCAATTAGTATGGGATGAAGGTAAATCTGCATGACACTCAAAAATATGATGTGATGCACATAAGATTATGATAATAGACATCGAAGTGCTTTTTTGTGTACATTTCAATATAGGAGTTAAAGTGCATTAGCACTAATCAGACTTCTCCAGACCTCAAAATCCACGACGACTAAGTGAAGTCTGTTAGGTGTTTAAACCAGCGAACACGTCGTAGCACACGTGTAGACTGTACTTAGTCACTGCTGTCAGTTATTTTCTTGCTGGTAGATTCATTATCTGTCTGGACCAAATAGTCTTCCGTAGTTTTGTGTTGCAGTGCTTATGCTGGTGACGCTAGTGCAGAAAGAGCTACCTTTAGGCGGTCAACATTTACGGTGTCTTGTCATCCCAACCTATCAATGACGGAGAACTTCTCCTTTCTGCTGACAACTAATCGGTAACTGATAACAAAAGACAAATCGGAAAACACGTTATTTATTAGTCAGGGTATAAGAAGTTAACTTAGGAGAAAGTTGTTAGCTTATCTGTATATTAATGGCTAAGCTACGGACTTTGAGGATGTGCGTGATAATCAGCACAAAGGGAGAGTAAAAATGACATCAAAGCCCGTTGGGATGCATAATCGTTAAAGCGAAACTTAAAACACCTTCAGCATCCGGAGCCAAGTTAGAAGTTTATTTAGTAAATTCAATTTAATCTATTTATTTTGGCCCTAGTTGGATTTTAGTCTCAAGAAGGTGAACTACAATATACTTTTCCAATACCAACAACACAATTGATTGAATCCGATCCCCTTAGTCAATATTGAAACACGCAAAATTAAACAATGAGATATAAGTTAGTAAGATCAGCAGTATACTATGTATTGTGAACAAGAACATATGAAATGCCATATGGACTTCGCCTAAAATATGAAGGATGGCATTTTATTGAAACATTGACTCGAGAGAAAAAACATACAGTTCACCTTAGTGTAGATGGTAAACCACTAGAGTTATTACTTTTGTTTTTACTGCTATTTATGCAATGTTAGGCCGACTGGGGACATCACGCGTCAGGCCAGTCACTCGAGTGGAATCCCCATGGGAAGCGACGAGTTGGACGCCCGAGGTGAGGGTGACATGGAGGAGATCATGCGAGGAGGAAATGAGAGCTTGTGGGCTGTCGTGGAGCCAGGTTCAAAAGATTTCAGAGAACGGGGTTCACTGGAGACGTGCTACTGAAGTCCTATGTTTCATAAGGAACCCAAGGGACTAATAATAATAAATAATAATATGCAAGGCAAAATGAGCAGTAGGATAAAACGGATCCATTTTTTTCGGATGGTATCTTGTCTCAACTGCTTACAAGGCCTAGAATATCAAAATATATGTAGTTTTTCTATATTATATTTGTTTATTTGAAATACACTGGTTCGAATCTTCATCCCACCTTCAATAACCACCCACTATAAATACTAGTCTGCCAAACCACAACTATCTCAAATAGTCGAAATGATAATCAATATGTTGCTCCCATTCTAGTTCTAATTTGGTTATATTTAGACTCGGATGATAAGCCCTGACTTGACAACCAGTGTGAGTACGATCAAGTGTCAGTAACACGTCACGAATTCACATGGTAGTCGGGCAAAACCCTTGGTGATTGGAGTGAAATAAAATTCCGGTCAGCAGTCGGACCTCGTACCTCAGTTGGTAGAGTTTCGGGACGGAAACCCGGTGGTCGCTGGTTCGAATCCTGCCGCGGTCCAGATTTTAATTTTACCTATAACCATCACCCAGTATTTGAAATACCGCACAGTGATACTGCATTACCTACTGGATGGTGTTTCTTGCACAAGTTACCACTGCTCATAATCATATCAACCTAAGTAATCACACTCCTTTCGATATCTGATTTTTATAGTCCTATCACCTGATATTCTTTGTTTCTATTGGTAGTAAAGTTTCCTACATCTCCAAGACAGATGTAGAGTCCTTCCTATTACATGTGTTGGATACTGATTCGATGAACAGCTATTCATTAATCAATCCCTCTCTCCACCTAATTGTATTTGATATAAGTATAGTGGCTTTATCCCACCCACTGTGTCGTTGTTTTAATGCATACGTTGCAGTTGCCGAGTTTCTTTTTCTAGATTATTGATCTTACTGGAGTATGTCATTTTATATTTAGCTTAATTCCTAACTGAATTGTAGTAGGAATGACGCAACACGTAGACCGGAGATATAGGATATCTTGCTACCAATAGAAACGAAGAATATCAGGTGACAGGACTATAAAAATCAGATATCAAAAGGAATTTGGTTACACTGATATGATTATGAGCAATGATACATTTTTGTTCGAAACTTCATCCAGTGAATTATGCTGTAACACTGTATGCTACATATCAAATAAACAAATCTAATATGGAAATTCATTCTACCACAGTGTTCAAGTTTTACACTTATATATAAATAGCTTTACTGAAAATTTTAACATAATTTAGTTCACTGAAGGAAAACAGAATATCGGTCAGTAGTGGTTAACATAAGCAGAAATAGTCATAGAGTACAGGTCAATCACATCTCCATGTGTTTGTCGATTTGCGTGTATGTGTGGATATGCACATTATTCTTATATTATTATTAGTCCCTTGGGTTCCTTATGAAACATAGGACTTCAGTAGCACGTCTCCAGTGAACCCCGTTCTCTGAAATCTTTTGAACCTGGCTCCAAGACAGCCCAAAAGCTCTCATTTCCTCCTCGCACGATATCCTCCATGTCACCCTCACCTCGGGCGTCCAACTCGTCGCTTCCCATGGGGATTCCACTCGAGTGACTGGCCTGACGCGTGATGTCCCCAGCCGGCCTTCTCAGTGTATGCCCAATCCATCTCCACTTCCTCCTGCATATTTGTTGAGCGATAGGTTCTGAGAGCTCCTTGTTGCTTATTCTTTCTGGCAATCCATCTGATCTTCAGTAGCGAGCGTCAGCAGTTGTTGATGAATGTCTGTAGTTTATTGAAAATCCCTTTCGCAACACGCCAAGTCTCTGAACCATACATGAGCATTGATTTGACGTTGATGTTGAAAATCCGGGTGTTGTTCCACATGCTGAGTGCAGAAGATCTCCACACTGGTTTCAGGCTAATGGACGCCTGTCTTGCTTTTCCGATTCTGACCTTGACATCCTCGTCTGTGCTGCCTGTAGTTGAAACAGTGCTTCCTAGGTAGGTGAAGGAGGTTACTTCCTTTAAGTTTCTCCCGTTGACAGTGATTGGAGTTTGTTGTTGTTGTTGTTGATGGTGGTGGTGCGGTATCTTCATCACTTATGTCTTCTCTATATTCACCTGAAGTCCCGTCTTCGCTGCCTCGCCGCTTCTGTCAACTTGTTAGTTTTCGCCTGTAGATCTTCAAGTTTGTGTGACATCAGGCACAAGTCATCGTTGGCGAAATCCAGATCTTCTAGGTTTTTTTCCGCAGTCCAGCGTATCCTCCTCTTATCGCTCCCCGCTGTTTGCTGCATGATCCAGTCGACCACAATCAGGATGATGATGCGAAGCGTTGCAATTTGGTCGGCACATGATTTGTACTTCCTGAAGCCTGCCTGTTCCGGTCGTAGTTTTGAATCCAGTGCATCTTTAAGCCTCTCCAGGATGATGCGGCTTAATATTTTGCTTGCTCTGGGTGGACAGGAGAGTGATTCCGCGCCAGTTCTTGCAAACACTGAGGTCTCCCTTCTTCGGAAGTTTGAAAAGGTAACCCTTCTTCCAATCAATTGACAGGTACCTTCTCTTCCTTACACACCTTCTGCAATGGTGGTGTGGTGTGAGCATGTCTGCTGTTGTCTCTGCGTCTGTTTTCAGTGCTTCTGGAGGGATCCCATCTGATCCTGCTGCTTTCCCGCATTTTAGTAGCTTTATGGCGTTCAGGACTTCCATTTTTGTTGGAGGATTTATGTTCACTTGTAGTTCAGCGGCTGTAGGTGGTATTTCTGGACGAAGTACAGGTGGTGGTCTATTCAAGAGCTTCTTGAATTGGTCGGCCCTTTGTTTCTCTTTTTTCGTAATTAAATTTCCGTCATCATCTCTTATTGGTTTCGTCTGTGTTGATCTCTTCCCAGATAGCAACCTGGTTATTTGATACAATGTTGTCAGGTTTCTGTCTCTCTTACCTGCAGCCTGTTCTGCTTCACTTGCCAGTGTTTTGTAGAAGTGTCTTTTGTCTTTCTGAGCACTCTCCTTCACTTCTTTGTCCCGTGAAGTGTTTTATACATTGTGCTCAGTTCCTCTTGTCGTTGAGCATCCTTCAACTGGTTTATCTTCTGCTTCACCATCCTCCTCTCCTCTCCTCTATCAGCTTCCATGTATCCATTGAGATCCATTCCTTATCCTCCTTCTTCTTCTCTCCTAATACGGCTGTGCAGGTTTCTTTCCACATCCCTTTCAAAGACTTCCAGTGTTCATTCACACAGGTTTCTTCAGGGATGTTCCTCGATGTCTCCTATTTTGTCTTGATGGCTGCCGTGAAGATTTCCTTTGTAGTTTCGTCCTTCAGTTTCCGAATGTTGTACTTGAACTGCGGTCTATCACCAACTTCGTTGAAGGCCTTTAACTTGATGTAGATGGTTGCTTGCAGTAGATAGTGGTGTGAACCTACATCTGCTCTTCTTGACCTTGCATCAAGTAGGCTGCGTCTCCACTTTCTTGAGATTGAGATAAAGTCGATTTGATTTTTAGTGTGTCCATCTGGTGAAATCCATGTCGCTTTGTGGATATCCTTGTGCTTGAACACACTGCCTCCAATCACCAAGTCGTTGAATGCGCAGAAGTCTGCAAACAGTTCTCCAGTTCTCTCGTTCATTTCACAAACGAGTGCCTCTCGACCCATGATCACTTCTCTTCCTGTGTTGTCCGCTCCCAGTTTGGCATTCATGTCACCCCACCCATTAGAATTTCGATGTCGCCAACTCGGATAGGGTCTTGTCCAGTAGTGATTGCAGTTGTCTGTAGAATTCCTCCTTCTTCTTTTGATCTGCATTATTTGTAGGTGCGCAGCCCAGTATATTGTATGACTGTGATTTTCCTTTCTTTTGATTTGAATCTTGTTGTCATGATCCTGCAGGAGGAGATTGGTTCCCACTGCATGACAGCCTTCGATGCTCTTCAAGGGGACATCATGATAACCACTCCAAAACTCGGTGTGCTCGTGGTTGTCGTCTGGGTGACAATATCGGAGTAGATTATTGATTCTCCAGTTAGCAGTTTGGAGAGTCCACTTCCATTCCATCTGCTTTCGCAAATTCCAAGCACTTCAGTGTGATACCTCTTCATCTCGTTTGCAATCTAGGCTGCCTTGCTGGGTTCAAACATTGTGCAGACATTCCATGTCCCCATCCTTCCTTTCACTTTCATCGAGAGAAGAGAAGACACATCGGCCAATTGGCTTCCCGAAGACTTACACCAACTGGTGTGATTTCGTCTCTCCGATTCCAGCGAGGAATAAGTTCATTTTTATTTGTTTGTGCCTTGAAGTTTCTTTAGTGATTGAATTGGTTTTACGGGTTAGGGTTGCTCGCCCAATGCCCAATCTTCTCTTTTCATCTGGACTTAGGACCGGCTAGTAACTAGCGAACTAGTTAACCAGGCGAGGTTGGGCATACACATAGGGAGGAGTAATCGTAATATGCAGTCAAGGATGATTGAACAGGCACCTAAGTGGTCTCAACAGAGCCGATGTTTCCAGGTGACAAACGTCCATCTTTATCTATTGTTAAACACATACAAGAAACTAGTCACAGGGTAGACGTGAAAACAGTTTTCGAAGTGGTCAGGACCTACTGCTTAAATTTATTGAAGCTCTTGCCATCCGTACATTAAAACCCCTTCTATGTGTACAATAACAGTTTGTACTCACGCTAACCTACCTTAGTAGTATTGACTTTAATTTTCATACCAAGATTAATGTGCTTAAAATTTTGTTTTTTCTCTGCTGTTCCTATTCCTATGTTTCCTCCTAATTTCTTTGACACTTCGTAAATGTTCATATAAATAGTTCGAAAGGTCTATATGTGATCAGTCAGACCGCTCGAAATGTATAGTGCTAATACATCACACATGTTTCAGATAATCTTTGTTTTCTCATTAAGCTGTTTAAATTATTATTATTATTATTATTATTATTATTATTATTATTATTATTATTATTATTATTATTATTACTGTTGTTATTAGCGCAGACCGACTCAGTACAGGTATTAATATTGCACCACACAGAATTATCTGAGAAGGTTGTTATGGCATAAAAATAAGGGAGATGGATGGAGGACAACAGAAAAAATAAAGAAGTGGCTATATACAATAATGTATAAACCTCTCCATTGCTTTTTGGTGCCAGAAAATACATGGAAAGCATAGTGTGATAGTCATTAGTTTTGATCCTGGGCTATATATACGGAAAGTTCAAAGCCACGAAGTAGCATAGTCTCTTAGACCCCATCGAAGTTTTTATGCATTATAATAATATAAGGCCACCACAAGTCCGCTCTATGGTGCAGTGTAACGGTATGGAGTGATCATTGATTACAGCTAGTCCCAGTACCAGGAAATGGTATGGAAGCCATTGCGATGGCATGATTTATGCATGCATGTCCATCCCATCGAGACCGGTTTTTCTTTTTTACTTCATATATTTATTGATAATAAATATTATTGTTAGTATGATCACAGGCAGTAAGTAAACTTTCCATTGGTAGGAAGCCGTGCTCCACGTAGTCTTCATGCTTTCCATCACTCCTCGGCATGACGTGTCTTCAAAAGATTGACGTACCCCGTGAGATTCCAACCTGCATGCTCCCAGTATTGCAGTCAGTGACGTTACTACTGAACTACTCACGCCTCAATTGACCTCCTGTAAGACTGGATTGCATACACTGATTGATCACTGGAGAGCAACCAATTTCATATTGTGTAGTCATGAGTGCTGACCAAATTCCACCAATCATTTTCCGAACAACATCCATCAAGGTGCACCCCGATGCTGAATCTCCATGCCTGGAGGTCGCATTGCGAGAATGATCGATAGAATTCAGTGTCCACTCAGGACTAGACAACGTAAAGCTATTTGCCCTCCAACAACTAATCGACCGAAAAGCGTGTTTGTACAGGAACGTGTAAGCTACTCGGTACTTGAACTATATAAACAGTCAATAGTTGATATTGAAATATTGCCTCTCAAATTGAATGAATCTGGTTCACCACACTATGAAGAAATCAATATGACTTATTGACCTGAACATTTGATTGTTGAACAATGGGTTCACGATTCAAATCGTCTACTACAGGCTAGGTAGCCTAGTGATATCATCAGTTTTCACACAATAACTTTTGATATGAAGAGGTGATTTGAAGTTAAGACAAAAACTTGGATTGTGATGAGATTCAAACCAATGACCTATGAGTTGTCGGCTCAGTTCTTTGTTGGCTGAGCTAAGAGACCCAGCTGCTGATTAGATCTTAATTCCACTTCAAACACCAAAGGTTTTGCCGAAGCTGTTATTCTGAATCCATGGTACGCAACTGAAAACTCATTGTAATCACACTGCCCGGTTTGAATCCTCCCACAAATCAGGTTTTTAGTTCAGCTTCAATCATTACATCTTATGAATAATCTCAGCCTGTCAAGCAACTAGTTTTGCTCATAGATTGATAACAAACCTGTATTTGTTTAAATTAAAATAGCTTTTATTTGTACTTACATAAATTGAGTACGAATAAGTCAGTGAATAGGTGTTTCGTAACTGTCGCCTTATCTCTTTCTGTTTTTCACTCCTTCTAGGCTATTTCTTCAGTATGCTGCATGATTTAAGTATTAGTGTTCCAAGTAATCTACAAACACTACGTGATTTAATCAGTTGTCAAGCAGATGAATTTCCTAAACTGTCCGCTGATCGTCCACCTAAAATTGTCAATGCTGTAGCCAATTTTCGTGGTTTCTAGCACTTTCCTGCTCACCTTACTTTTGTTATCGTTTTTTTGTCGTTGCTCATTATCATTTTTCCAACTCTTTGTAGGAGAATGTCTTGTGTTTCGTGTTTGTATTCAAAATGTTTCACAACAATGTGATAGACTCATTCAGACTGACTTTATCTTTTTATTGTTTTACTGCAATAAAATTGAATAAGTAAGTGTCTTACGGGTTTGGGTCATTTTGTGATACTGAGGTTTGTGTGTGTGTGTGTTTGATTGTGATGTATGTACAGTTTGCATTGTGAATGCATTAGTAGTTATGTCGGGTAACACTTCAGTCAGTCCACTTTTACAGGTCCACTTCTGAAGGTATATACCTGTAGATAATCTCGCCTGGTTCACTCGTTACTTGCCGTCCTAAGTCCAGATAAAGAGGGCAGGTTGGGCATAGGGCGAGCAACCCTACCCTGTAAAACAAATCTAATCGCTAAAGAAATTTCAAAGCACAAACGAAATATAAAAAATGATAGCAAAATTATTCCTCGCTGGAATCGGAGAGACGAAATCACACCAGTTGGTGTAAGTCTTCGGGAAGCCAATTGGCCGATGTGTCTTCTCTTCTCTCGATGAAAGTGAAAGGAAGGATGGGGACATGGAATGTCTGCACAATGTTTGAACCCAGCAAGGCAGCCTAGATTGCAAACGAGATGAAGAGGTATCACACTGAAGTGCTTGGAATTTGCGAAAGCAGATGGAATGGAAGTGGACTCTCCAAACTGCTAACTGGAGAATCAATAATCTACTCCGATATTGTCACCCAGACGACAACCACGAGCACACCGAGTTTTGGAGTGGTTATCATGATGTCCCCTTGAAGAGCATCGAAGGCTGTCATGCAGTGAGAACCAATCTCCTCCTGCAGGATCATGACAACAAGATTCAAATCAAAAGAAAGGAAAATCACAGTCATACAATATACTGGGCTGCGCTGTTACGCAGCCAGCCTAGTGGACACAAGATCAGATCAAGAAGGGGAGCAGATGTAGGTTCAGACCATTCACTGTCAAGTGCAAGGAACCCTCAAAATCAAGTTGAAAGCCTCCAAAGAAGCTGATGATAGACCAGAGTTCAAGTTGAACACCCAGAAAAGTAACTGAAGGACGAGACTACAAACCACATCTTCACATCAGTCATCAGGAAAGAATGGGAGACATTAGGCAACATCGCTGTGGAAACCTGTGTGGAAGAACACTGGAATTCTTTGAAAGAGACGTGGAAAGATGCCTGCATGACTGTATTAGGAAGGAAGAAGAAGAAGCAAGACAAGGAACGGATCTCGACGGACACATGGAAGCTGATAGAGGAGAGGAGGATGGTGAAGCAGAAGATGAATCAGTTCAGTGCAAGGATGAACGACGAGAAGAGGAACTGAGTACAATGTATAAAACACTACACTGGACAAAGAAGTGAAGAAGAGTGCGCGGAAAGACAAGAGACACTTCTACGACACATTGGTGAGCGAAGGAGAACAGGCTGCTAGTAGGAGAGACCTGACAACATTATATCAAATAACCAGGTTACTATCTGGGAAGAGATCAACACAGATGAAACCAATGAAAGATAGTCAAGGAAACGATGGGTTGACCACTTCAAAAAAACTCTTGAGTAGACCACCACCACCACCACCACCTGCAACTCGTCCAGAAATACTACCAACAGCCAGCTACAGAACCATTAGTGAACACAAGCCCTCCGCCAAAAGCAGAAGTCCTGAACGCCATAAAGTTACTGAAAGCCGGAAAATCAGCTGGACCAGATGGAATTTCTTCCAGAAGCACTGATAGCAGACTCAGAGATATCAGCAGCGGATATGCTCACACCACTAGTGCAGAAGGTTTGGAAGGAAGGAAGAAAAGGTACCTGCCGGTTGGAAGAAGGGCTTCCTTATCAAACTTCCAAAGAGGGGCGACCTAAGTCTTTGCAAGAACTGGTGCGGAATCATGCTCCTGTCCACCCAAAGCGAGCAAAATATTAAACTACTTCATCCTGCAGAGATTAAGAAATGCTCTGGATTGAAAATTATCACCGGAACAGGCTGGCTGGCTGGCTGGCTTCAGGAAGAACAAATCGTATGCGTATCAAATTACAATGCTACGCTAAGCATCATCATAGAACAGAGCATAGAATGGCAGTCAACTGAATCTCTACCTCAACTTCATCGGTTTTGAAAAGACCCTGGACAGCGTTGACCGAGAAGTAGTTAGACAGCTGCTTCAACACTACGGGTTTAATGCTACAAACCTTTATCAACCTCATTCAACAGCTGTATGCTATGTGAGGATGCTACATGTCAACTGATTCACAATGGAAAGTTCAATGATGCCTTTGAAGTGAAGATGGGAGTAAGACAAGGCTGCCGCCTACTATCACCGATGATCTTCCTGATTGTGGTCGACTCGACTGGACTGGATCATGCAACAAACTGTGAGGAGCTGTGAGAATATGGGCATACGCTGTCTGACCGATGAAAAGAGCCTAGAAGATTTGGATTTCGCCAACGATGATGATTTATGTCTAATGTCTTGTGGCACAAACTCGAAGATCTACAGGCCAAAAACAACAAGTTGACAGAGGAGGTAGAGCAGCGAAGACGGGACTTCAAGTGAACGTAGAGAAGACAGGGGTGATGAAGATACCCAACCAACAACAACAAGCACGAATCACCACCAGCTGAAGAAACGTGAAGGTAGTTATATCTTTCATCTACTTACCTAGGCAGCATCGTTTCAACTACAGGTGACGCAGGCGCAGATGAGAAAGTCAAAGCGAGGATCGGAAAGACAACAAGACATGCTTTCAGCAATATTAAATCGGCATGGAGGTCTACCTCACTCCACCCAAGATAAAGATCAAGATCCGGCTTTCCAACAGTAAGTCAGCCAAGTGAGTCCTTCTGTGCGGTTGGGAGACTTGGCGCATTACGGAAAGCGTAGACATGCATCAACAGTTGCCGCCTACTCTCACTCGTTACTGAAGATCAAATCAGATGGCCAGAAGGAATAAGCCACAAGGAACTCTGGCTGGCAACGAGCAACTCATCGCCCAGAAAATATGTAGAGGAAAGTCGAGATGGATACGATTGGGTTTACGTAATATTGGAAACTGATGTTAGAAGTATTCAGCTGGCCCGCCCCCGATTTCCTGTTTCTTGAACAGCTTCACAACCAACTCATCTCCCTACCAGTACCCTAATACTACCACATACGAAACCCTAAGCACAGTAACTGGTCTCCGATTTCTGGTCCGTGACAAATGCGGCGGAAATCTGGATAAACAACCAAACCCGAGAGCTCACTTTACCCAACGGCAACACATCCATAATAATGCTATGCAACAGATTTCTCTGGTACTTTGTCTCGTATCAACCCATCTAACAGAAGTTAATTAACAGCCAATGTATCTCCTTGACAATGTTGCATATTTTAATGTGAAGTCTGTGAAGTTTTACACAAGTGTAATATTCACCAATGTTGAACGACGATTCTTCCATTCTTTAATTACTTGCGCCACAACAAATGTTTTCAGTATTACCGATCTGAATTGCTGGAAAAGGTAACACTTGAAGAGTGAGAAACGCCTGAACTTAGACATTCACCTGGACTAAATGATTGTATGGATACTTACTTATTCCTGAAATCATTGAAGTAAGTTATTATTGGTCAATAAATCTACAGATACAAGAATTACTGTTGAAATAGACGTTTATCTGACGGAACACTTGGTCTTGTAGATGGGTCAATCATGTCGACTACTCATAACGCAAACACCGAATATTGCACCACTGCATTTGACAGTGTCCCACCCACAGTACTGCTTCACAAGATCATGTCAGCTGGTATAAGTGGACCCCTACTCTCTTGGTTCAAGGAGTACCTGGAAGGGAGGCAGTTCTGCACTAAAGTGAACAGAATAAGGTCGGAGTGGAGACCCTCGACGTCAGGAGTATCCCAAGGAGCAATCCTAGGACCGCTTCTGTTCCTCCTGTTTGTCAACGATCTGCCAGACAAAATATCCTCACCCATCCTCCTCTTCGCTGACGACATAAAAATTTGGAGGGTGGTAAACGAAGAAGCCGATTGTGCAGCACTACAAAAGGACTTGCAGCAACTCGAGCTCTGGTCGTCGGAAAATGGCCTGAGCTTCAACTGGAAAAGTGCAAAGTAATGCACATCAGTAAAAATGAGGCAAGTACGACCGACTTCCAGTACATGTTGAGCAACCGTGCTATCACCAGAGTGTCCATGGAGAAAGATTTGGGGCTCAACTTCTCCGACACCTTGGACACCAGCTCCAACTACAAAGGTATGACAACCAGAGCGAACGCCATTCTACACTTTCTGCGTAGACAGCTTGGCGCCCTCACTCCCGAACTCTTCCTCACCATTTTCAAATCCTACGTGCGGCCGCACCTAGAGGTCTTCAATACGGTGGCTCCTCCAACACTCAAGAGAGACTCTAATCTCCTTGAAAGAATACAAAGAACTGCAACAAAATCAGTTGTGGGGCTAAGGGGAAAGACGTATTTTGAAAGACTTAAACACCTCAACCTATTTACCTTGGGTTATCGCAGGAAAAGGGGTGACCTCATTATGGCATACAAGATCGCCCATCAGGCAGACCATGCAAACAAATCAATTTTGCCTGCAACTGAACGATCTTCACGAGGAAACCCCATTAAGATAGCACACCAGAGAGCCAACACCACACTCAGGTCCAAATTTTTCTCCCTGAGAGTATGTGCTTTATGGAATGCCTTACCGCGACACATCGTTATAGCTCCTTCAATCGACTCTTTCAAGAGGCGATTAGACAGTTATGTCACCTCGCATGGACTACCACGGACGTACTCAGGTAGTCACCAACCTCAGTACCCCCAACTCCCTCCTAACTACCACTCACTATCTCTCTCCTTAATACACCCACATTACCTACTAATTCTTCTGTAGGAACCAAACCCACGCGACCATTCG